CTATTGTGAATGTGCCATCGTGAAAAACTACTCAGGCATATTTTGTCAGAGGATAAATTATTTATCCGTGAAGGCGGTTCCTAACACCTCTATTTAGTGTCTGGTCACTCCCTGCAGCGCGTCGTGGGCCGCGCACGGGAGCATATCACAACACATCAAAGTTTCCAGCTCTCGTCCTCAGTTCCCTTTTTTTCTACACTTGGGTGTTTTTTTGTTTTGTTTTTGTGCCCTTTAGTGTGTGCGCACGACACGCAGAAGCACACTTCTGCTCCCGCGCCACACTTTGTGTCTTTGTGTGAGACCCCTGCCTCGTTCCCCATTGTCATGTTAATTACCTGTTTGCTCTGTTTTGCGGGAGCTCCCCATCCATCAAAGCGTCTTCCTGCTTTTCATCTCGCACGGCGCATCCCTACCTGTAATTAGGTTTGGGTGAGGGAGAAGATGGATTTTGTTGGCACCACACGGAGGGGGGAAGAAGGCATTAGGTAGTCTCCATGGCTGTGCCGGGGCCGGGTTTTAATGGCGTCTAATTGATCTGAGCTGTCACAGGGCCGCGGCTCTGGGTGGCGGGAGGCTGATCATCCTTATGTGCCATCCTCCAGTGTGTACTCAGCATTCTGGCTTTTGTGCGGTAGGACGGTGGCTGCGTGCTTATCGCGTACAGGTGGCTGTTTTCACTCTGCAGAAAACAGGGGATGGAGTTGTGTCTGTATTTATATGAACAGATCCCCCTCTGCACAAAGGCTGTGCGTATGCGTGTGCTGGGACTGCATGCATGCATATTTGTGCTTACAGCTACTGAGAGGAGGCGAAGCAGTGCCATGGTCGAATAATTTAGGGTCCAGATCTAGAGAAGCCGGCGGGGGAACTCGATATGCGGCGCGGCTCCCGAGCAGGTGATGAGCGTTCTGTCATAAAGCCAAAAATGATGGAGATGGATTAATATTTAAGAGTAATCTGGAGTGGGCAGATGGGTGTTGCTCAAAATGCTCAGGCGTGATGGGACGAGTTTATAGTGAGGACAAGTAATCACAGGAAAGGTGGCTTATCAATCAAACACAGTAAAAGGTGCCTGCTTTGATTTTGATTCATTCATTTCATGTAAAAATCGGGTCTTAACTTGACCAGAAGCAAGTCAATGATAGGAATTTCTGCACAATCACGCTGAGATCTTAGGAGTGAGTGTGAGCGTGTGTGGTTACTGACAAGCTGTTCAGGTTACATCTCCCCTTCTCGCACAATGGCAGCTGGGACAGGTTCCATCCTACATGCAACAATGAGCTTGACAAAGTGGGTAAAGAGAATGAAAGGACCGACTATAATAAGAGACACGCAAGTACACAATAAGCAAGTGATGAAAGGTCAGAGGCGTGAATATTAAATAATGTCAGGACCATACAGTATATGATGATTAATGACCTCATAACTTTTAGTCCATCCATTTTTTGATTGTGTACCCATTCAATTATTATTTTATTCAAACTATTCCATTATATTTGTATTAACCAGCCTTTGACTGTACATTTAAAGTACATTCAAAGAATAGGTTTCAAAATTATGTTAATATAATGAGTTATGGCAGTGCTAAATATAGACAGGCTCTGTAAAAACTGTGTGGGAGGTAAAGTGAATTGTATACATTTAATTTCAATTGTATACATTTTAACATTTTTAAATTATGACGTGGGTCCCTCTCACATTGTTTGGATAAAGAATTGATTCTTTTTGCAAAACATTTTGGTGTAATTATCATTTGAAAATGTCTTATGGGTTAAGTTTCCCATCCTCAACTGATTTAACATTCTTTAAGGTTGTTTTTTTGTTGTTCTTCTTCTACCCGCCCGGTATCCTGGGACTAACTTCTGTGGCAGTGCGTATCCATAAAAAGCCACGGTGGTGGAACTTTCAAAGTTAAATCTAGACATCATTTAACCACGGTTTCTTCTTAAGTTCCACCCTCTCAGTTTGAAATAAAGCACACAAAGGTGGATTTAGGTGTGGACGGAGCACATTGCAGTGTTGTGCACTGTGGGGACGTCCATGCTGCTCCGCTGACCTTCAGCATGAAATGAAAAGTGTCTGATGCCTCTGGTGCGTTCGGAGGGCCTTTCTCTTTTCCGAAGATGGACAGCCATGCATTATTGATTACAAAACACTCCGGCAATGCCATTTCATCTGTGGAGCACAGCTGACCGTGAACTCGGCTTCGTTTTAAAGTAGCTGGGATCTGCTTTGTGTCTGTGCGTGCACCTTGTCGAATGCCTGTTTGGTTTGATTTCTGTAAGCTCACCGTCCTACCCGCCTCCTCATAGGAGGGGGCTAAATGGTGGGAAGGCAGGAAAAAAATAAATCCTTTATCTTCTCCCATTCCCTGCTAACTAATACTGCACAAAGATGGCACAAGGAATGTCAGTGTGGTGAAGTCATGCAAATATGGAAACATTTGTGTTTATAGACAATACAGCAGTTTGTTTGGCTGACTTTTGCCCACATTCCATACTCATCTACAACTGACAGCTTTTTCACACTCACATTTGGAGGTTTTACCATAAAAGCGAACAAAGGCAGAACTCTTTGCAAGACTCTTACTTCCTGGGTGCAGCTGAGAAGCAGTCGTCCAGAGAGCGTTGCTGAGCGATGGCCTTACCTCCCCGGTCCCCTGTTGAGGACGGTCACAGGGGAGGGCGCCCGTGGCGACCGTGGCTGTCAGATGCTGTTTCCACGATAACAGAGAATGATTGGTTTCATGGATCTGGTCTGAGGTCCTTGACAGCACACGGGAGGGGGGGGAAGAAGGGGGGGGGAGGAAGCTCAGCCACACCTGGGAGAAGAAACGCTGGCAGGATGTGAAATGTTTCTGAACAAGGTTGTTCCAAGGGTCGCAGCCAGACCTGCCACCCATCTCACCCCCCCCCCTTCCCACCGCGCATCATCCAGGAATGTACAGCCAGACCCCATGCTACACACGGACAATATTGGGCCTGAATTTCTCCTTTGTTCGAGTCTGACTTAGTCTTTGTCTGCTTCTGCCTGAGGTGGTGGTGAATTTGCAGACAACAATGTCTCGGTCTTGTAGAGGGAATCAGCCAGGACACCATTCAGACAATTGATGTTTGGCTGAATAGTCTGGTTTCATTTAAGTGCTCCACCTGCGAAGAAATTAAGGAATAAATCTTTAATTTGTGCCGGAGTTTTTCACAGGATACCTCATCTGCAACGTGCTCCAAACGATCAGCGCATTTCCAAGTCTGACTCATGTCTAGCCTCCACTGTGGAAAAGTGAAGCCAGTATCATTGATGTCAGCCTTTCGCGGGTTGGCATGAACGGCGAGGCCAGGGACGGCTGGCAGATCTCCCTCACCCGCATTCGTCAACATGAGTTTGGTTTGTCTCCTGAAGAGGTGATGGGGGGAGGGGGGATTCCTGACAATCCCATTCCCACAGCTCACGACAATATTAATGATTGATCTGCCTCTGCTTGACCGCGGCGAGAGGGGAGAGAGAACACCCCAGCGCAGCCAAAAAGGAAAAGGAGGATCGAGGGGTGTGCACAATCCCGCAAGGTCAGAGTGGCGTCCAGTCTTTTGTTTCCAGCGGCGAGATCAGTGGCCTGTTCAGCGAAATAAGCGGCAGGCCTGCCAGGGAGCAGATGCAGTAACAATATGAACATTCACTCACTTGGTTGCTTATGCAGTGAAAGTTAAGTTGTTCTTGCCCCGTTTGGACGCATCTCCTGAAAATGAACATGTTATGGGCACAATGACAGGTTCAAGTGGCATTCGTGAGGGACTTTTACAAAATGTTGTTAATACATAACAGGCAAGTCATTGAGATCATAGAATCAACTAGACTCTATACAAATGTTTCCCAGGATTTTGGGATTCAGTGCATGGTCCTCCACACTACGTCCTGCTCATGCAAGTTAGAAAACAAATATTCTTTCTTTATCTAAAAGTCACCCAGTGCATATTTGCATGGCTGCTTGCACCTCCCACAAATTGTTTAGTTTAAAGAACACTAAGATGTGGGAATCTGGAACTCAAGGTGAGTTATTATCTATTCTTCTACCCGAACTTCTATGTGGACGGGCAACCTGTCCAGGATGTAGCCTAAAATCTGCCGGCAGCTTGGATTGGTTCCAGCGACTGTGAGCAGGGTAAAGATAGAAAATAAAATACGAATGGATGGATTTGTACTTTAGTGTCAGCCAGGATATTCAATACATGGATGAAAAAAATGTCCTATCCTGTTAAAAACCCACTAAAACTTGTCATCGATATTTTCGATTAGCAGGGCAAAGCCGTTCTTAACTCATTGCCGCCCTCTGCTGTTGGAAATGGACAGTGAAGCCAATTTGCAGTATATTTGACACTATTAAAAACCAAAAGGATTATGTCTACGGTGTCCCCTTTTTAATATAAAGTTATTAGGTAATATGGTGTCTACTATGTTCCCCTAGGACTTTAATAATGTCACTGCTGCTCGTGGCTTTATCATACTTCAAATGTTCTTTCAGCTAGATTCGAATTATAGGAATAATATCTTGTAGCTGTTAATAAAACGTTTTAGAGACTTATTTTGCGGCTCCTTTTCTCAAAACGTCTTCAGTGAATGTGCCTTATAACACCACTTTTAGCAGTTAATTTAAGAAGATATTTAAATTCTTTCAACAGTCCTAATATAAAAGGTGCACTATAATGCTTTCTGCATTTGATACCCTAATAAAAACTGTTTCTGTATTTCATTTGCATATTTTTGTTGTTTTATGGGCGATAATTGTGGCCTCTAAGCAAAATAAAAAGATAATTGTATTTTTTTTTTCAAACTTGAATGAAAGAGAAAATAAATCTTGTGCCATGGCCAGATTTAGCGTCTACCTGAAGCTGGAAATACAATGAACCAAACGGTAGATGTCTCCCTAGTCCGCGTAACGGGGTCTTCACGGGCTCACTGTTGCCTATAGATGACCGAATCGCCATTTTGAAAAGCAAATCGTTCACAGCACACCCGCCTTGAGTACTGGAACTATGCCGCGGGGCCGGCCTCGCAAACTGAGAGTTAAAAGCAACGACGAAACAGGTAACTAGTACAAAAATGCAAGAAATAAATAATACAGATTATAGGCTATCCAAATAACCTGGTATTTTTTCCGCAAGCACCTCTGCAGCGTGAATAATAACACTTCAATCTGATGTATATAGTCCCCGGATATAGTATTGCGGGTGGGCTTTGCTTTGTACGGCGAAGGAGTGTTTGAGGCGGAATGATATTAATAACGATTCTGTGCCTCTTCTTATTGGCTTCCAGTCTAAATTGGTGTCCGTGAGGAGAGGAGCGGTATTTTGCTCTAATGTTAGTCGGCGTTCGCTTTATATAGATAACATTTGCTTACTACTAATTCGTTGTTAGCTTGCAGTTGCTAACTAGCTGCCTTCGCTACTGTTAGCAGCTAACACGCCATTGTTTTGTTTTGTTTTCCCCTCACTGTCCTGGCAGCGTTATAGCGTAGCTGTCAACGCTCTGGTGAAAGAGTCACGTTAGTCGGAGCGAGTTGACCCATTCCCTAAACGACGAATGCAATGTCGGAGTGCGTTAGTTTTGTTGTTTGTCAACACTGGAGTGCAACAATGTGTCGCGTTTCCTGACACGTTTTGAAGTGTAACTTCAGTTTTTGATTCCCCCCGTGATACCAGGCTTTCAATAAAGAAAGAAATACAAAGCGACAGGGTGCAACCCATCGTCACGAAAACAGAATAAGAGAAAAAATGAACGTGAGGTGAATTTCACACAGTGTTTTAGGGCTGGCTGCGCGCGTGACAGCAGAGATGGGCGTGTAGAGGTACCCAGTGACACCCATGTTAACAGTAAACCGCCTGAGATTCTTATATCCTTGTTGATTTAAAACAGATACAGGATATTTCCGTTTATCAACTGACAAATTATCCTAAACAGACAATAGAGAACAAGCATACGATTTGACAGACAAATATATGGTCCAGATTTGTTAACATTCACCTAACCTTTCCTTTTTTCTGTTACACCAGTGAGCACCCCACCTTTTTCACTAAAAAGGCAGACATGTACCACATCTTCATGTTTGCTTCTGATATTCTTTGCAGCAAAAAGCCTCTTGAACTCCATTAAGACACTCATGTCTCTCCCTTTGCGCCTCTCTCCTCAGATACGGATCCCAGTGTAACTAAGGCAGGAAGTTTGGGTGATGGGGAGCTTAAGGACAAGAAGTGCACAATATGCTCTCAGATCTTCACCACAGATAGTCAGCTGCAGAAGCATCTCCGTGAACATGAGCTCAACGATAAGGTAGGTCCAGCACAGAGCCTCCACCATGACTGGAGTCAGAAATTTGTGCTATATGCAGCGGTTTCTAATGGATACGGTTTCAATAATAGGTTTTTAAAAAGCTCCATTTGTCCCTTGTTATTATACCAAATTATTATCTGACACCTAACAGTCATTAAGCAGTTGAATTTCCTACTTTCTTTTCTTTTACTGGAACAAAATAATTTCACAGACTTTGTTTTTCAAATTCAAATTCAAGTCTAAGAATAGCACGCCACTTTTTTGGGCCAAATATAGTCTCCGCTTGACGCTTTCAGGCGAGTGTAAGCAGTTGAGGAGGATAACGGACCTGCTGTGCTGAGCACTGCGGTGGATGATGAGTTTCCAAGCCATGTGTCACAAATTAGCCTCCCAGCCACATTATTTGTAACCAACTGCCTCCAGAGCTTCCAGGATTTGTAACACCAACATCCCTGGAAAAAAAAAAAAAATCCTCCACCATGTTTTATCCGTACCGCGTAAGGAAAGTGGAGACGGCTTCAGTTGAGTTGTTTCCAATTAACTTCTCATTTAAATAAAAAAAAAAAAGACTTCATGCCCAGCTGTTTCTGGGGAGCAGTGAGTGGCAAAATGTTTAGTGGATTTTTACTCCTGAGAAGTGTTTAAGGAGGCTGTTTCGGGGTTAGTGAGAAAATAAAGGCCTATTTGTGGGTAGGTGTTAGGTGAGTTGTAACAGCACAAAAGTTAGCTGGGTCTGTTTCTGACGTTTAGATGAGAGAGTCTAAAGCAGTGGTTCCTAACCTGTGTTCAATCGAACCCGAGGGGCTCAGTGAGTCGGCAGAGGTAAAGACACTAGTGTAAAGTAGTGATGACACACCCCGCTGGGCCATCACTTGCTGCAGAGGATCACGTTACATTGCTTGGCCAATCAGTGCTGCGGGGTATTTAGTGCACTCAGTAGTCAACGGCTCTGGTAGTTGTACGTCCTGTGGTTTCTTTCTTAATATTTTCATCCGTACTAAATATGTTGAGCAAAAAAAAGAAAGTGGTCGGACGAATATGTACAACATGGATTCATGTGTATGACGAAAGTCAGCGTCCTGTCTGCATGATATGAAAGGCCAAGTTGAGAAACTCTATTCTCGCACCAGCAAAACTAAAGGAACACTTCTTATTCTGGCCCCGAAAAAATATTTTGTGGATTCAAAAGGACAAAAAACTATTTAAATGTAAAATAAACAAATTAAGTTATTAAAAAAGAAGTTACATTCTTTTAAAATATCCAAATTTCTTTTTAATTAATAAAATAGTTAAAAAAAAACTATTTTGGGGGGCTGAAATTCTTTTATTGGGCCGAAATATTTTTGGGGGGCCAGAATAAAGTAATACTTTAATTTGTTGTGAGTTCATGCACTGTGTTGTTTTTGTTCTTTGAGCACGGTGATGTTCATGTATGGCTCATTTTGTGCACAAGTAAAAAGAAAAAACAGAAACATATGTCTTGAATTTGGAAAAAAACTAATATTTTATTTATCACTTAAGAAGGGTTCAGTGAATGCGCATATGAAACTCATGGGTTCGGTGCCTCAAAAAAGGATAAGAACCACTGGTCTAAAGACCTTTTTGTTCAGGTTCTGGACAGCCAATAGGGAGCAGGTCAAGTAACAGTTGCAGCTTGCAAAGAAGTAATAAACAGTCTTCATTCACAGAAGATGAAAGAACAAAACTAAAAGCTTTTCTAACCGCCTGTGATGAACTCACCCCACTCCATCAATACGACTGACTGAAGCTAATCCTGTTCGATTATGATGGACTTATGGTTCCCCCAGTCACCTGCCGAGCATCTTTTTTGAAAATCCCTGACCTTTTCTCGGCTGCTTGCGCCAAATTCTGGCCAGATCATTTCTGTGTGAATGAACCAGTGACGCATCCGGCTATTTAGTGCTGCAGCAGATGCTTTCATCATTCCTCACACAGAGCTGCCCACCACGGTTCCCCAGGCTCCGGATTCAATCCTTACTCAAGAAAGATGAAAGCCTCATAGCCGATGGAGGTTCATAAAAAGATAGTGGGTGGAACAGCTTGCCCTCAGTTAGCTCACGGTGTCAGTATCAGGATGGCGGTTCTGTTGGCTTCAAATAAAAAGCAATAACTGGAGGATAAAGGGGACGAAGAATCTCACAGTCAGACATAATTGCTGTTTTTACCTGCAAGTGTGTCCAAGTTTTTGTTTATTGGCAGAATGAAAAAGTCAGGCTGTGCAGATCTTCCCATGGGGGCAATATGAATGTTTCTTTTGTGATATGTGGCTGTAGAATTCTTTTTTTCACTATCTGCTGAGACCATCAGCAAACCTTTAAAAAAAAAAAAAAAAAGTTTTATAAGAACAGATATCAGAAAAAAGAAAAGTTTTTCTTTCACCTCTCTTTTTTGTTGGCCTTCAAAAAGACCACAATAAAGGCAAACCTATTTTCAACTACACTAGTTTTCGTGAGGAATTTAAGTTCCAAGGAGTCTGTTTTAATTCTAATCCTCTCCACTCTAAAGAGCTGTTGCTCTGGGATGTTTTGCTCTTACTAAGGCCAAGAAATGCAGATTTTGCTGTCGGCCTTGACGCTCTGAAATTAAGCCGAGCGATCACTAAGATAAGAGATGGAAATGAATTTAGGCTCTGTTCAGCCTCACGATGAATATTATTTTGTGTTTGCTGTTAATGCGTCAGACTGTGGGTTTAGTGAGTCAGTCCCTTTCACTTCCTGCCCTCATCTCTGTGCGCCTCCCAATATAAATGTCCATCGAACTAGCATGTTGATTTGGGCCCTCCAGATAGTCTTTTCACGCAGAGTAGGTCTCGACACTTGACCTGTTGACCTCCTCCCTCATTTGCAGCCCCATCGCTGTGACCAGTGCTCACAGACCTTCAACGTGGAATTCAACCTCAAACTGCACAAGTCAACACACACCACCTCCGACTTCACCTGTCCCGTCTGTCATAAGAAGTTTACGCGGATCGCCAGCCTCAAATCTCACATCATGCTGCACGAGAAGGAAGAGGTAAGTCAAGTCACCAGGCAGACCGACGGCTCCTCGAGTGTTGCTTTTTATCGCACATCAAAAGAAGAGTAAAGCAAACACCAATACGCATCTAATTGGCTTCCACCCTGGCAGAATCTCATCTGTGCAGAGTGCGGAGACGAGTTCGTCCTCCAGAGCCAGCTCTCCCTGCACCTGGAGGAGCATCGGAAGGAGCTGTCGGGCGTCAGCGTCTACCCATGCAAAACCTGCGGCAAAGAGTTCAAGACGTCCGTGCAATTTAAGGACCACATGAAGAGCCACATGAAGATCAGGTCAGACCCACATTTAGTGTCAAAGGAGCATAAACCCAGCAGCGTTTCAACACATGGCACAGAATTCAGGTCACAAATCAATGGAAAGCAGTACATTTGGGACGGCCCTTGAATCATTTCACCTGACAACATATTGGTTTCCATTAGTGTACTCCGTACTTTAAGGGTTGTTTCTGATTAGTACAACTACTTCTTCTAATGAATTACAGTCAGCCGGGCCTATACCGCCACCCTCTGGGGAAACCACATAGTTTTTTCCCTTTGATACATCACATAGGAACATATCTGGTTGCGTCACACTTAAATGGAAACCTGTTCTTGAATTATTCAGAAAAAGGACCACAGTTAGACTGCAAGCTAACTAAATAAGCCAAAGGGCTCGTTTTCATTCATCATCATCTGTTAGCAGGGATCCATGAATTAAAAGTTTTATTTTAACAACTTATGCATTGAAATGAACAAAGAGGTTAGTTTGAGAGATGTTTTTTAAAAATGTATAATGCTGTGATTTCATATAATTGTGTTTAAAAAAAGAAAAATTAAGATTGACAGATTTGTCTTGGTATATAGTTACACTGTTGAGGCCTGATGGTTAAAAAAAACAGCTACTTCCATAGATATAGTGCATTAGGCCTTTAGGCTCCTCCTGTTTGGTGGAAACCTTGGATGCTAGAGCCAAGTAATTGCTGAGCTTTTCTGAAATGTAACATATTTTTACCTTTGCACCAACTACCTGTTGACTGTTGCATCATCTCTCCTTTCTTATCCTCTCTGCAAACTCAACTATGTATTTAAAAAAGTAAAAACAACCTAAGGATATGTCAACCTTTCAGACCTCTCCACGCCTCACCCCAGCAGTTTGGTCTGAAAGGGCCTGATAGCCAAATGTGAACATTTTCTCTCATTCCCAGGCAAATATTCATGAACGTTTAACATGTAAATGCTTAAATAAGCCAATCCAAGGTCAGTCTGTTATCACTGTGAACGTTTCACAGTAAAAACAAAGTCAGAACGGAGCCCTGCAGTAGCGGTTTAAAAAAGGAAAATATCCTGTGTATTTTAGTCCTCTCTTTTTCTACATACATCTGTTGGTTCGTCTTTGAATCTTGTGCACATCAGTTGTCTCAAAGCAGTTCGAATTTCCTGTGTTTAACTCCTTCCCAGACCGCTCTCCTCCAGTTCCAGAAACTACAAGAAAAACATAGATCGCAGTGGGTTCACAAACAGCTGCCATCACTGTGGGAAGGCCTTCAAAAAGCCCAGCCAGCTCGTCCGACACATACGAATACACACAGGTCAGTGAGAGGCTTGGACATTAGGACCCTTTCTACATTTCTTGGGTGCTTTCGGAAAGGTTTTAATCTGCAGTCAGTCCTGCGTCACATTAACCTGTCGGGGGTTTATAGATTTTTTTTCCTTTCCTTATTGGCTTCTGCTTGATCGGCATTGGTAGGAACGTTACGCCCTGCTACCCATTATGCAGCCTGCAGGGACAGCTCCCTTCATCCTCAGTAAACAGACATTTTCTGCCGAACGTAACAGTGGGAGAAAGGTAGAGGAAGAGGTAAAGCAAGGGTGGGAGAAAAAGAAGGAGATGCAAAGAAAATATATAGAACAAAATTGCAAAAACCCAACTAGCTCCCATGGCCCTTATGGGGAAACCAGGGAAAGATGCACCCCAAACACGTGCACAGAGACAAAATGAAACTTTAACCCTGTAAAAAAATGCAGACACCACTAATATTCCAGCAAGAATACGTGGATACTAGCGGAACAAGCTATAGCTCCATCCATTCATGTTCTCATGGTTACAGGTTTTTTTGCTGCAGGAAATTCGCTCTTCAATTAACCGACAGGTTAGCATTGGGATCAGCTTTTATAATCTAATTTAGCTGCTGCTTTTTAACCGCAAAAATTTCAAGATTTCCACAATTTGTTGGATAATAACCACGCCAGCGCTTCTCAAATTTTGATACTTCTTAAGATCTTCTTCTTCCAACTTCTGATTAAACTTTAGCTGTGAGTTAGGGTCTCAGGGGCTCAGTTTTCTTCCTTGGACACTTCACAGGCGTGTAGGCCAATAACACACAACATTTGTCCCTCTGCCCCAGACCTCCCCTCTGATTTAATCTCTTTCTGAGCAGTTTCTTCTGTTTAGCCCTCAACAACCAAAAGAGTACATACAAATCATCCGTCACCCAGAAAGGGTTTGTGGACGGAATTTTAATACGCTGTTTAAATTCTAATGCTCTTGTGCTGCTCTGAGATTGTTCAGCTGCCTGGGTTGTGGGTAATGTTGCCAGCAGCTTTCATCCACATGTTGATTGCACATCATCCACATGTTAATTTGTTTGGCTGGCCCGCCATTCGCATGGCTGATGACGTCGATTCCACTGTGCACCGAATCTCAATCAGGCTTTAAGCTGATGAGGCGAGGAGTCGCTTTGAGAGGCTGCGCACACTCACAGAAACGCACACAGACACACACGTATCATTGTCTACTTGAGGAAAGATTTTTTACTTTTTAGAATTAAGTCACATCATAAATGGCTGTTTTGATGACAAGATTTTGTCATTTTTATATGTATAACTTTATGTTGTTCAAATACCTAAAGGTAGAAATTTTTTTTGTAAAGTTCAAACAAAAACAAATTCCGCCAATGTACTTATCCAAGCATAACCAACATCCAAAGCAAGCAGTACTGTTTATAGTTTGAGGTCACTGAGCGCTCTCGTGTTCGGACCTAATCGGTAGCCTCGGGGGCTTTTTAACTCATGGCCGCTTTTCCCTTTAGGTGAAAGACCCTACAAATGCACGGATTGCGGAAAGGCTTTTAACCAGAAGGTGGTGCTGCAGACTCACATGGTGAGGCACACCGGCGAGAAACCTCACCTCTGCATGTTCTGCCCGGCGTCCTTCTCACAGAAGGGCAACCTGCACTCCCACGTTCAGAGGGTTCATTCTGAGGTAACGGCAAGCCGCCAGACTCCCCAACTCCTTCTTTCTCTTTTCCTTCTCACCATTTCTCCGTAACCGGGCATACTGTCTGGCACAAACGTCGGCACAATTTGGACTCGCGTCTGAACGAATCGCAAGTCTCGAACAACTCAAAACCCAAAAAACATGTCAGGGTTTTGAACTGAAGTGCAGGACTGTTTGTACTGTGCTTCATTTGACAGAGCTCCTTACATTTTGCTCCCACGACGGAGTGAATTAGTACGCAGATTTACAGTATCACCATTTTATGATGTTAAACCAACAGGTAGGCGGAGCATTGGGACCCGTAAAGATGGAGAACACAAATGGCTGGTCTCTATTTGGCTAATGATACTTTCAAAGTTTGATTTTTGAGAAACTAGCAAAAATACAATAAAAGCGAGTCAATTACTAATGGTAGAATATGTAAGGCTTCTGCCATCTCAGCACTGAGGACCTTCTGTAACGCGTGTATTTTGGTAAAGGTGAAGAAGCCTCTGACTGAAGACCCTCTGTTAGGTGTTGAAGGTGAGGTGTGTTTCCACTTCCATGTTGACCATCTTGTGAAACTTTGTACTTACTCTTCAGGAAACACTCGAGAAGTTGTTCAATATCCCAGTTGGGCCAGGTTCAACGACAGGTCCTGCCTGCTCTGGTTATTTTTCAGCACACATGGCTGGTGTAACCAATCACACTGCTGAGTTTGCCGTTAAAACAGAGATCCAGAAAAAAAAAGGTCTTAGCAGCTGAAGGAGAGGCAGTGCAGCACAATATCAAGTCCATCATTTTGGTTCAGAGAAATCATGAAGTTGGAGGAAAAGAAGCGAATGCATTCTGAAATAATAGGGCTGTTGATGAGGTCGCCCGTCGAGTCCCTCTGTTGGGTGTGAAAAACCCTTATGTGAAGCAGGTAATTAAGGGGAGAGGGCCCCCCAAATTTAGAAGAATAAATACTGAGCAGAGGGCGAGGAGGCTGCTCAGCAGAGACCAGCAGCTCTGAGGCAGTGATTCTACTTCCAGCCGTTCTCCAAGAGGTCTCCATAAGAGCAGCGGCTCCACACACACTAAATTGCCAGCTTTCAGGCTTAGGGGCTGTTATTTTCAACACAGCCGAACAACTCATCTTTTTCTTTGACTCACAGGGCAGAGGTGGGATCAGAATTGTTCCCCTTCTCTTCCTCCTTTGTTCTTTTTTCCCATCTTTTGTAAGCATCTCGCGACGCTTTACAGCATTTCCCAGCACCCTATTCTTAAGGATCCATTCTGATGTGTCCCACGCTATTATGCCCAAATTTGGTTTTCAACAGTGTTCCGTCAGCTCTGCCCGAGAGAGCATAACTGTGGATGAGGGGTCAAAAATAAGCAAAGTCCACCTATGGAGTTCGTCACATGAGACATTCTAAGGTGTGAGGATGTTTATTTTGAACTAAGCACTCTAATGGGGGAAATTGTAGCTCTAGCTCCTGGCTGATGTCCACTTCCAATAATGTGGTGACAGTCTGAACTAGGTCAGCGGGATAACGGTGTCCATCAGAGGAGGTGCACTGGGTCCCCCATCAGCTGTGTCAGGTGTGACACAATGGGCACAGTCAGTGCATTTTGGCAAGTATTTTAACATAGCATAAAAACCGCCTGTGTGCTAACTCACCAGTTGAGAGGTGACATTTCTTTTGTTTTTCCTCTTTATTTTAACCTCAATGGGCCTTATCCTTATAAGGTTATCCAAGGAAGCCTAAACCTTTAATCATTATTTTGTTTTTTCAGCTATAAAACGTGCCTAGACGGATAACACTAAAGCATAGTACAATAGAAATGTGAATGAAATGACTTTGTTAATGAAAGTGCTGTTTGATCACCCAGAGCAAGATTTTTTTTTATGTAACTCTGGCTCTTGATTTTTGAAAGTGGTGGCCACAAAAATTACGGTTGGTTTGGCCAATCTCAACAACCCCGTCTTAGAAGTGGTTCTTTGCCCTGGAGTTGGTATAACTCTGTTCTCTGGGGCAAGAGTCACAATGGTAAATATGGTAAATGTACATATTATGGCAAGCCAGAAGGAACAGAAGGTCACTTGGATTATTTTCTGATCCTCAAACTGCTCTACACTTCCTGTGTCATGTTGTGGCTTCTTTGCCATCTGAAACCATGGAAACAGCATCACAAGCTGCAGCAGAGAGTTCAGGCAGAGTAAATAACTATCTTTCTCGCTTATTTAGCTCTCTCTTATGGTAAAGCCTTGATGTTGTTTGAACGCACCCTTGAATTTTCCAGTTCGATGCTGATTCCACTGAATGTGTGGTTTCATATCTTCATCTCTTATCCAGCCTCCTAGCGTCCATTTAACATATTTTTACATAATCTTGTTAGCCACGGTATATGTACATATCATATACACTAAGCCATCCTTTATGAAAGGAAAAGCCTTGAATCAAAGTTTACGTGTTACTGCTGAACTAAAATTTTATAATTTTTGTACGTATTATCACAAGGATTTCAGTCAGTGGAAACAAGGACAATGCCATATATCATAGAGGTGCTGATATAATGAAAGACTGTTATAAGAACATATTAAGAATAGCTCTTTATATTCCTTTAGGGGAATATAAAGATTGTTAATGTCAGCCTTAAGGTCTAAATCCCAACAATAATGTGGGGTGAGGTATCAGACATTTAGTGTGACTCACACCCGCCTCCTGTATGTTTTTGATAACTGATGATGGCTGATGAGGATTGGACCGTTTCTTTAGGATGCAGTTGCTCAGAGGTTTTAAACTTTTACACACCTTTACCACACTTTTTACATAAACTACTGTTTGTGTCAACATGATTGACTACTCCATTAAACAGGTCTTACATATTAAAGGCTTACATTTCAGCTGGAAATCTTTCTTTTACATACAAACACCTCTGTTTAAATCACATGCTTGTAGTTTTTTTTTTAGTTAGCATTTTCTGACACGATTTCTTTCCCCACCGTTTCACATCTTTCTGAAAATATATTTTCCAACTGTTCCTTTTAAACTTCTTTTCTCATTGTTTTTTCCTACTTCCTCACCACCACTACAAAGGAATGACACCTTTCATGCATATTTCTTGTATGCAACCAATCTCCCTCCTACTTTTTATTCCACGTGTCCACTCTCAACACCAACAACCCCACCATCAAGGCAGCAATGACGCCTTACTTCAACTCTTTGCTCCGTCATGTCTGAACACTAGAAACACACTTCACGAGTGTCCTTTCTGTTCCTCTTGGGGTAAGATTTTAAATGAAAGTGCTCACAGCTTCCTGTGAGGAAGAAGTCCACCAACACAGATGTTTCACCTCACTTCCTTAACTTTTATTGTATTAATGTTTTGTTTTTTTAACTGCCTGCATTTTTGTTTTGTCTCTTACTTCTCTGGAATTTTACAGTTGGTGCGGAACCACGTAAAAATCTGAAACAAAAAAAGAAATTTAAAGAACAAAAACAAAAAAGCGTTTGTTTCTACTGAGCACTCCTGAGGTAAATTCAGTAAGATCTGTTATTAATATTGGCGGTCTTCTTAAGTAAGGAAGGAAACTGTACAGATCTTGTCCTTGGAAATGAATAGAATTCCTTTGTGTCACCATTATACTGGATGTGTGAAGTTTAATATTAATAGCTAAGTTAAGTGATCTATCTGTTTACTGATGAGAACTCTAGACTTGATGGAAGAGCGAGAGTCTCCAATTTCGAAATGGCAGCAAATCACCGAGGATATGAATTAGATGCTGGATGAAGACAAAGATGAGAGGGCTTATCACCAAATGAGTGAAGAGCTATCTTTACATCTATTGGACCTAAAGCAACCTTGTACAAATGGGACACCGCATCACTAGAAAATGATTTATAAACCATGTGCGGGGCAAGAATTCTTTCCCTGGTGCTTCAGACATCTGTATATTCTAAAAGAGATCGAAACTTTTATTGCTGTTATTTTTGTATTGGGAAATTGTTTTTATCAAGAGAGTCACAGTGGGAAGCATACAATGATTTGGTGTGTTCTCTTTCAGACCAAAGGAGTACCTTTGTTCCCCTGCATGGACTGCAGCTGTGTATTTAAGAAGCTGGGGAGTCTGAACGCCCACATCAGCAAGATGCACATATCTGTGATTGAGGTTCCCTCCAACACTCCGGTAAGCAGCAGCAAAGAGCAGAAAGGCTGAGTCTGACGAACCTCCTGGCTGGAAATAATTAGACACAGAGGGAGTTCTTTCCACAGAATTATTTAGTATTTTTCTTCCTAACTAAAAGAGAAAGGAGAGACAAGGTTAGCAATGCTTTTCTATTTGTTTTCTTAAAAGTGGTTTTTCCTGTGTCAATGTCCCACATCCCTGTACTCATCATTGAAATATTCTCCTAACAAATCACACAAGTTCTCTTCAAAGTTCTGGAAACATAGGTGTCCCACACTTTTCAAGGGAGCAATCTAGGGATCCTGTTTAATTTATTTTGGATTGGAGAGTTTGTAAAGGAGCAATTCCCTAGTTTCCCTCATTGGCCTCTAAAACACTGTCTTTATTGTTGTATCCTGGGCAGAAAATATATTGTGTTCTCTTAAAATTATTTTATCCTTCGACTATTACTATGTAATCCACTGCCTCCACATCTCTGACCCTCATGAAAACAGAGTCGACGGCAGTCAAAACAACCTTAAACTCTGCCACAGAACCCATAATTCATAATTCTTTATTTTTTCTGTGTGTGTGGGCTAGTCTTGTTCTTGATCGGTTGTGAAAATAGCTCAGATGAATACGTTTGTATCCCAAATGTAGTAATCAGAGTTTTATGTATGTCAAGTTTATTGACAGCTTCATATCGACTTCATATTCTTATGAATCGAGTCGTTTCAAGGTGTTTCTTTTTAACTTACAGCCAAGGCTTTACTCTATCTCTAATTTTTTAAATTCACAATTTAAGCCTTTTTTCGTTGCTCTCTTCACTGGTGGAAGATGATGCAATTTTCTCCTCCTATTTGCATTTCAATACTTTCTCATTCCCTCCAGTTGAAAACTGTAAAAAGCTTCTTCCACTGCCAGGAAGCAGTCAAGCATGGCTTCGAATGAATTTCACCTGGTGTGGAGCATGGAGCATTGTTTGGTCCTTAAAAAGTCAGTTGGTTAACTATTTATGAACAGCTTTCTGAGGTTGAATAGTGAGCCATGTGCTCATCTACACATACAGCATGTAAACCTAACCAGTGTTTGACACCCAGCCGTACATTGACATTCTGTTCGGTCACACCAGATCCTTTGCTTGGTTTAATGCCCCAGGCAGCCCCTAATAAAAGTTGGCCGGGCTTTTAGATTTAAGCCATTTCGGGTATTTTGCCACATCGCTCACAGTTTTATTTCCCTCCTCTCCCTCCATTACCCCGCCTCGTCGACCACAGGAGAACGAGACCACGGGTCAGGCTGCAGGGGGTTCAGAGGGAGGTGAGGGGGTGACCGATGTCATCCAGCAGCTTCTGGAGCTGTCTGAGCAGGTCAGCGGGGAAACAGCCCAGCCTCAGCCTCCAGAGCCAGCCATCACCATGGAAACTGCTATCAACCAGGATATTCTGCAGGTGAGTGAAGGACACTCATGTGTTTGGCATCAAGGTAATAGAAACAGAGGGTAAAAACAGCACTCATTTGGATATACTAGCGGCATGTTATTGCAAACCATATCTGATGCCCTTTCAATAAAAAAAAAAAAAACAAAGAACATTAGATTTAGCCATTATATCTTGACAGCAGTCGTGTGTTCTGTGCCTGCAGCAAGCTCTGGAGAACAGCGGGCTGAGTGTGGTCCAGCCACAGGGCGAAGCCACATCAGCAGAGTCACAGGGCCAAAACACAGAAGCTGCTGTTGAAGAGGGCAAGAAAGGACCGGACAAACCCATCAGGGAGAAGAAGAGGAGCATTTTTAAGAAACCTATACAGATGCCAGGTTGGTGGTGGGAGTTTGTCTTTTGTTTTTTCAAAATTCTGATTAAGAGAAAATAATGCATCCTCTCAGTTGGTGAATACACGAAGTCCCCTGGCTGTTTGCAGGCTCCATCAGGGAAGAGGACGGCGTCCGCTGGCACGGCTGCCCGTACTGCTGCAAGGAGTTCAAGAAACCCAGCGACCTCGTTCGCCACATCCGCATCCACACGCACGAGAAGCCTTTCAAGTGCAAACAGTGCTTCAGAGCGTTCGCCGTGAAGAGCACCCTCACGGCGCACATGAAAACGCACACCGGCATCAAGGCCTTTGAGTGTCAGAGCTGCCGGAAGTGCTTCTCCACCTCCGGCAGCATGAAGGTCCACATGCGGCTGCACACGGGTGAGGGGAAAAAAAATACAATCTTTTTGCTAAGTTGATTTTTTCCTCAGCCTCTTAAAAGGCTTTACAACCACGAATGATGATATCAGCAGGTGGACAAATTAATTTAAGTTCAACATATTGGGATCACTCTGTTTTCGGACTTTAAAAAAATAGGTGTTTTCTCCCCACTTTTCTTAGGCGTGCGTCCCTTCTCCTGTCCCCACTGCGACAAGATATTTCGCACCTCGGGCCACAGGAAAACACACATAGCCTCTCACTTCAAAAGCCTGCAGCAGAAGAAGCAGAAATTTCCCCGGAAAACCAACAAAGCCAAAGTGTCCAAAAGCACCCTACCATTGCCTGACATCCCCTTACAGGAACCCATCTTCATTTCTGACTACGGTATGATGACAGGCGCGCACCGCCTCTCACTCAGCCAGCAGAGTGATTTGTCGTGCCGCTGTCGCTCTATCTCGAAATGAAATGTCTTTTCACGCTGGGAGACGGTGCCTGTCATATTCACCCGTGGCTCTTTTCAGGCCTCGTCACGTCCCATAACCCCCGCCTGGCCTTTCAACAGTACCTGGACGTGGTGAGCAATGACAGGCCTTACAAGTGCCAGTTCTGCAGCAAGGCCTACAAGAAATCAAGCCATCTCAAACAACACGTCAGGTAACTCGTCCTTATGATGAGCTTTTAAGGGCACACTCTGGGCATTACAAGTACTTAATCTGAAAACAAAAGAGGACCCGAGATACACTCGGACGGAAAGTCGCCGAGAAACTGTAACAGCAAAATAGTAAAAAGTTTACATGTGAGTCACAAAGAGGACAGAGAGAGTGTGTTTTACCATCACTGCCTCTAAAATAGCATATTAGCCTTTTTATTTTTTGATATCTTTTGAGTATGTTCATAGGTCATTTCTTAGGTTTGATAGCGCAAATCTGTGGGCGGCACTTTTAAGTTCCCCTCATGAATAAAGCATAACTTTGAAAACGTGACCTTAAGAACAGGTGTTTGGCTGCTCTGATCTGTGCCATTAAACTTTCTGACCTTTTTTAAATGTATTTTTATGGCAGCCTGTGTTTCAGCTTGATTTTCATATTTATAAGTGGAATTTGAATGATGGCACCTTAATCTCTGTTGTGCCCTCATCCAGTCAGCATTTTGTTTCTGTGCTGGCAGGTTTAGATTAATGGCTGCAGCCTGAGCAGCCCTCCATCAGCTGCTACTGTCAGTTTTGTTGGATCATTGATGAACCCGAAATGGCAGGATGTAGTAAAAAGAAAAGGAAATTTAGATTTAAGCTAATCGATTTACCCGTGGAAGCTTTTTATTTGTTTGTGCTTACACTTTTCGAAAGCATTCTTTCTTCTATTTCAGATCACATACAGGAGAAAGGCCGTACAAGTGTGTGCAGTGCAGTCGTGGCTTTGCCTCCTCAGGAGTCCTCAAAGCTCACATCCGGACGCACTCGGGCCTGAAGGCATACAAGTGTCTGATCTGCGACACAACATTTACCACCAGCGGCAGCCTGCGGCGCCACACCACCACTCACAGTGACATCCGACCTTACATGTGCCCCTACTGCCAAAAAACCTTCAAGTCTTCACCCAACTGCAGGAAGCACATGAAGACGCACAGGTTCCAGCCCTCACCAAGTTTTCGCCCGCGGTCTTGTTCTTAAAATTGTCGCTCATAGCTCCCGACTCTTTCCCCCCCATTCCCTTTCATGTCAAACCAGGTATGAACTGGCCCAGCAGCTCCAGCCTCAGTCAGCAGAAGACCCCTTAGCAGCAGGAGATGTGGCCCATGACATGCCGGTGGAAATGGAGGCCGAGTCTCTCCAACAAAATGCCGCTGCAGAGCAGCAAAGCATGCTGGGACTGGGCCAAGCAGAGGTCGTCAACGGAGGCCAGCAAGTAACACTGGAAGCCCCCCTCACAGATCAACCGCTCGTACAAGAAGGTACTTAAAGGAAAAAACAAGTGTCCTAAGGCCTCTCATAGTACTCTACAGTAGGTTAAACCACTGTAAGAAGCAGTTTAAAAAAAACAAAAAACAGCTAAGCATCATGTAATGCTCCGGCACTTCAAATTATGCTTTAAAGCATTATTTAAATCTCACACCCTTATAGAGCAGCGAGACTACGACATGTAAGATCTCTCCAGTGAGCGGGTCCTGCTCTCTGAGAATAAAATAACAATGATATCAATATTAATAATTGCAACTTTGTCAACTTTTTTCTGACCAAATGCTCCTTTGACATTTGTCATGGTTAAAGCCCGCTCACATTTGTACGGTTTAGCAGGTTTACACCATTTCTGTTTACCAAAATTACATGTTTAGATTTTTCATTTTGTCTGCATAAAAGTAACCCCTCAAACTGCCAGTTTTGCTCTTTTGATTTAACAGTCATTTGCTTCTTTGTCCACATTTGACCATGTATGCTTTCTTTTACTTGGCTCTAACATGCACATAATTTGGCTCAGTTAAAAACAGACAGCTGATTCTTTGAAGCCCGGCTGTGTTAATCTGTGCTTTACATATTTTAACTCCAAGCTCCGCCTTATAATTTCAATCCAAGACAGAGCTTCAGTTTTCACTATTTATTTTTACTCGATATATGGCTTCTAGGTTAATAAAAAACACCTGGTAAAATGGTGGATCTTTTCTCTTGTATCATGTGCTCAGCTACACCTAAAAACGTTGCAGTATAACTCTTACTAACACAGTAAACTTAACCTGTGGCTCTGCATGTGTTTTTTTGCACTGACAGACGCGTATGTGACCTCGCAGCACGCTTTACCTCAGAACATCAGCCAGTTCGAGACGCCAACGCTTCCTCAGCCAGCATTTGACCAGCAATCTCTAACCCAAGGTACAAACACTAGCTGTTTGTTTCCCACACAATAAGGTTCCTGCTCTCTATGCCTGGATGTGCTCTGCCCAATGTGTCCTTGTGTGTTTGTTCACATGTGAAAAAGAAGAAACAAAGTTAGATGTTGCATGTTTACTGTTTTTGTAACAAAATAGAACATTTTAGGGCATTTTTTTCACCTCATTCCATTTAGTTTCAAACTTGTTATGTTTTCTCCTCTAAGAAAATTAACCAAGTTAGTGCTAGAAGTCTTGACATGTGAGTGCTGAAGATGGAGGATTCACCAAGTGGGAGCACACTGCAGCAATTCCCAATGTAAACCTCACTGTTAATTGGTTCATTACAGCAACATCTGCAGAAGTGCCCCACCATATTTCCATCTCCATTCTCTCCTCTCCCTCTGTGCTACTCTTAAAACAGTGTAGTGCTTTCAGTATTCATTAATCCCGACAAACTCAGGAAGTTCCCAGCATGTGGACCTTCTCTTGTGCCTTCTGTGGAGCCGGTCCTCAGGGACTGAGGCCACATTGCAAATGGACACTGAGCAAGCAAGGAACTTGATTCCACTGTAGGGGTATATCAGATTTTTGTATTTTACCGACCCGGAGATTCATGGTTTCGCGTAGAAGGCCTTGTGGCTTCGACTGCCATCTTTTTTTTTCTTTGTTTCTTAGTGTTTGAAGGCCACGTTGCATGTTGGGTCAATTGAGCACCGCCCCTAGGTGTGAATGTGAGTGTGCGTGGTTGTTTGTCTCTGTGTGGTCCTGCAATGGACAGGCGACCTGTTCAGGGTGTAACCCTCTGGGATGGGCTTCAGCCCCCCTGCGACCACACTGGGAATACATTTTGTAGATGACAGATGGATGGACAAGAGGGCTCTTGAGCATTAAATGGAGATTTAACCTCCAGTGATGCGCAGTCAGAGCTGAAGCGCTGCCACGTGTTGGGATCAGTGCTACAACTGCTGGTGCATTTCCGCTGGATCCCCTCGTGGAAACCGTAGCGTTATTTATTCACTCATCTCAGAATCTCATTTAGCGAGCTGACTCATGGCCACATTGAGCGGTGCCGACAGTGGGCTTCATTTGAGCCTCTCACATGGAGGGTCTGCTTCAGAATTAATGGCTCTTGAAAGTTCTGAGATTATTTATAAGTAAGGAAACATTTAAAAGAATCTAATGTTTTTTTCTTTCTTTTGCATTTCATATGATTTCTGTAAATAGGCTGAATCATCCTTGGTCAAGGGCTAATACATTTGAATTAAAATACTGAAGAGGCTGGATATTTATTAGTTTACGTTTTTGTTTCATCCAGGCTTCACCATCACTGACACGAGCTACAATCAGCCCCAGTTCTCCACAGTCCAACAACTGCAGGACTCCAGCACCCTGGAGTCTCAGGCCCTATCGTCCAGCTATCACCCCCCAAACCTGCTTCACGTTCCTGGTGCCGAGGTGGTGAGTTCTGGAACTGGCAGTCTGAACCAATTCTAACCTGTAATAACATTTTGTGCCTTCATATGTTATTTAATCTTATTTTAGTTTTCTCCTTGTAAATGTAAAATTCAAACGCTTTGGATGTGACACCCTATGTTTGCACATGGATTAAAGAAAGAGCTGTCCTTAAAAGATAACAATGGTTCACTCACCTTTGGAAAGAGTCTTTTTTTTCACCTTAAAGACCATCAAGAACTTTAAAATGAGCGTATTTTGTAGGTTGATTTTTCTGAACTGATGCACATGGATGGCATATGTTATCTTTGGCATATATTGCTATCATTAAAATGTTTTAAACAAGTAACATTTGTCCAGATAGCCAGTTAGAAAAGAATACCAACAATACTCGTGTTGATCTACCAGTCATAGATTTAAACTGCTAAATCGTCAGGAAAGAACGCCTCTTTCAAACTTTCTATGGAGGGCCAATATATGATTCACATTTACGTTTACAGAATCATGATGCGTAAATGATGAGTAAATGTCATCTTACATGTTTTAAGCTGAGTGCATTTTTCTGCTTTATCTTTGTTCATCAAGACAAATGGACTTCTCCAGCAGAGCAGCCCGAACGATCTTCAGCTGACCACAGAAGTGCCGGACTACCAGGAGGACAGTGAAGACAACACGAAGAGGGCCTACAGGTATTCTGCTCCTCTGGCCTCCCTCTGTTATCTCTCCTCACACTTTTGTCACCTGCAAATCATTTTAAATTTCATTGAATCTACATTAGCCCAGTGGCGGTTCCCTGCTCGCTTTGAGGCTGCCTTGTAGTGAGCAGAAACTGCCTTTACCAAAGCTTGTGGCATTCAGACAGAAGAGCTCGAGAACTGTGCTGTTGAAGTCGGAATCAGCCCTCAGAGGGCTGTAGCAGCTTGCAAATTCCAATAATCAAGGGCAGCGTCAGCCTGTTCCTTCCACAATTTGTCGCTGATTGCTCGGCGGTCTGCTGCTCAGTCCTGGTGACCCAATGTGCTGCCGACCACTGGGCTTCATCTTCTGCTAGTCTTTTATTTATTTATTCATTTATTTATTTATTTCTATGTCTCAGATACCGTCACCACTGTGAGTGGCATTTACAGGTCAAATTTTAGTTTTTGGAGGTATTTCCTGTTTATTTAGGTTTTTTAACCAGATTGTAACTCCAATCTTTAGCATATTCCTCAAAAAAGAAAAAACTTGCTTCCAATGAGAAATTGTCAGCTCTGTGCTCGCTGCAAGTGTTAAAACTGAACCCGAATCACCTGCCAGCTGCTCTGGGGACACGGTGCACTTCATCCATTGGCTTTGTGTTGCTTTAGAAGTAGAGCTGTTAAGCACCTGTTGTGAGTCTCTCGGACTTTATGGCCTCTTCGTCATAATAAAAATAAGCTGCTCATTTTCATCTTGTTGGTGGACTGTCGAATGGTTTCGGCGTTTTGTCCGTTTCACAAAACAACTGTTGCGACCATGCAACAACCTCTCTTGATACAATTTTTTTCCTCCCTCTCCACAGGTGCACGTGGTGTGATAAAGGTTTTAAAAAGTCTAGTCATCTGAAGCAGCACATCCGATCCCACACAGGGGAAAAACCCTTCAGGTGTCATCTCTGTGGCCGGGCCTTTGTGTCAGCCGGGGTGCTGAAGTCCCATCTGAACACTCACACAGGTGAGCTCTCTTTATGTTTGTACATGGGGGTTTGGGAAAAACAATCTCCCTACTCTAACCAAATCACTCACATTAAGTCCTTTTAGATAGAACTAACAAGTTGTACATGACTACCAACAGAGATATATTTAATTATGATGTTTAAACGATCCATCTGAACGTTTGCCCGCTTTTTGTTCTTTATCAATTTATAGTATTTCCCCAAAGTCCTTGTTTCCTTTCCTTTGCACCCAAATTAGAAATGAGAAAGGTTTAAATGAATATTAAAAAAAGCACTACACCATTACCTCCTACAGTCAAGTGGAGTTGCCCCAGATCACAATGATCATATCTGTTCGAAGCCGGGTTGATGCCCTGGCTGGGAACTTCATCTGCTTTCCCAGATCCACTTCAAGTCTCCAGTCAGTGGCGGATACAAGGAGGGCTGCCTTTGCCCGAGCTTGTATGATGGGTTTCTCTCAAGCTCTGTGGCCATATGCTGTTTTTTGGAGACTTCGGAGTTCTTGACGTAATTTGTTAAACTACCGGTAGTTTGCTCTGGGTTTCATCCTGTAGTTGGACTTACTGTTTCTGCTCTCGATGTGGCCAAACCGCATGGCCCCATAGCTGACTAAGATGGCTGTCACGGTGTCAAGCTGCCGGTCAACTGGGCTGCTGTTCCCAGGATTTGGCTAATGTCTGTGTGTAACTGTGTCCACGTTGCCTGACTGTTTGCTTGAGGCTACTTGATCCGCTTGTGTTGGACGACACGGCAGGGGTTCGAAGGCTGTGCTTCTTGGAGGGGCTGGGCTCTGTGGGGTGATACCTGGCTGGGATCCTCTTGTGTCTCACCAAGATTTGATCCTGTGCGTTGCAGCACCTTCTCCTACTCCCTGCACTTCATCTTGGCCTGATGTAGTTTTAGGCCATGGGGGTTCTTACACACTTTTCCGCAGGTGCATCTTACATTCATGATCGAATTTCTGTTTGCGTCTGTCAATACCGTCTGTCCGGTTGGGCCTCTTAAGAATTCATTTGGGGGCATTTGCTTTAGTAAACCAGACTTGCCTTAAAGACTGTTTCTCCAACAAGCTGCTGAGTCTTCAGACGCCCAGTGAATCAGCTCCTCTCTTTTCTCTTCAACAGGAATGAAGCCTTTTAAGTGCGATGTTTGTGACGCCTCATTCACCACCAATGGAAGCTTGAGCCGCCACATGATTATCCACATAAAGTCTTTCAAATGCCCACTGTGCAACGAGAGCTTCCGGACCAACGTGGTGTGTAAGATACACATGAAGAAGGAGCACGGTATGGAGGAGCAAAGTAAGGGTTCCATTACCATGTACAGCTGTTTCAAAATTGAAGGAAATTGTTAAGATTTTTAGCTGTTTGGATAAGAGTTTCTTGCTTCTTTTTTTTACACAAAGATATGAGGTTTCGACTTGAAAATATTCAAATATTTTCATGTCATGCAATGTGTCTCTGCTGTCTGATGAGTTGTATAACAATAGAGAAGATAGCTGATTAGTACATTAATAATAGTGCATTAAAAATCACTCTTAAAAAAAGGCCCATTTAGCTTTGGGAGCGCTTTTTGTAACCCAATGGCAGAGGTCACTATCTAGAGCGTCTCCAACAGTCTTATTACATGCTTTGTAATGTTGGGAAACTTTTTGGTACTTTTTTCTATATATATTTGACTTCAAATATCCTCAGATGTTTAAAGAATTCCCACAGTCAGACAAGGAGTCCCAATAGACTGACTTAGAGAAACTTCAACTACACTTTTATCTGGTCTCAAGAGGGTTCAAGCGGCACATAAAGGGGCCACCAGTTAAATAGGAAATATTACATGTGTGAAAGGGGCTTTACTCCTGAGACCAAGCTCACTGGCAGATGTCATGACTTTTTTCCTGGAGGTTTTATTGCCAAAAATCTGAATTTGTTAACCCCCTTTTCAAACATCCCATTTGAAGGCTGTGTTAAAAGAGATTGAGGATCTCTTTTTTCCCTCGTTTTGGGCCCAAGAAATTAGATCTGTGTCTACGTACTCTGGCCCACACGAGTATGAAATTGTAACACATTTGCTTTCAATAACAGTATCTGCATATCCATATCTTCTTCACCATTTAAGGCCCCTTGCATTAAGCCTTAGTAAAAGAAATGACGGGTTTGTTCTGGGGGTTACAGGTCTGGAGAGTCAAGATGGGGAGGACGAAGATGAAGATGAGGACAGCGAACAAAAGGCTTCAAAGAGGAAGGGTTTGGAGATCATCACTTTCACGGAGGAGCAGGCAGCCGAGCTGGCCAAAGATCCCGGCGAGGAGGCCTCTGTGTCGGAGCGAATCCTGGCCCAGTCGGCGGCCGAGAGGGATCGGATCAGTGAGATCAAAGACAAAGCCGTGGAGCTGGAAACGGAACCCAAGTTTGCCAACTGCTGCAATTATTGCCCCAAAAGCTTTAAGAAGCCCAGTGACCTTGTCAGGTAAAAAGGCTGGGGAGAAATGTTTTTGTGGTTGTCCCTCACCACTGAGTGAAGTCTGAAATCAATATTGGAATATATATTTTATGGGTTTTATAGGCATGTCTCATGTTAGATAGAAGTAACCCAGTATTTTGCACAGCTTCACTTTTTCTAACTGACCTTTTGTACTGTTCACACCTCTACACTCCTACACTCTGCTCTTATGAAAGATGTCTGAATTCAGAAGGTGCATGAAATAACACTTAACACTCTCTGTTTTATGTGAGCACACAAACAAAGAGGCTGAAGAGTGAGAGTCAGAGTCAAAGCAAAAAGTAGAGCATCTGGATAGAAATCACATCTCCCCATTATCTCTTGAAGTGTCAGTCAGCTAACAGCTTTGAAACACCATGAGAACACTCCAGAATCGAGCAACAATTTGATCTTCTTGGCGGTGAAAAATAATCTCTGCTTTTTTCATTCTCCATTGAGAAGGTTTTGGATGCTTCAAATCCCAAAATGTATATTTTGAGATTTGGCCGCTGGCTTTTTCTTTTCCAAACTGCGTGGTCGTTCACCAGAGAGCTTTGTTAATATTAAAATTTTCTTTATCCTCTACGTGGGGGGAATTAGCTGTTTTGTAAAAATGCAGTAAAGCTGTAAAAACGCAGTTTATGTTTTTTTCTCATAAATCCGCTGAAGTACATAGTTTTTTCTGCTTTTAGTTTCTCATTCATCCTTGTGCCTACTAATATTCAACTCTTTACCATCAACATCCACCTGTAGGCACATCAGGATTCACACAGGCGAACGACCCTACAAATGTGATGAATGTGGAAAGAGTTTCACAGTCAAATCAACTCTTGACTGCCATGTGAAAACACACACAGGTAGGTGCCTCACAACAGGCTGACATTTGATCAAGCTGATCGCACAAAGATAGGCTGATTCACCTTTCCAGTGCAACATTGTACCAGTTCCCAACCCTAATTTTGAACCACTATGTGCCGAGTTTGAATAAAGTAATAAGTATTTTGCACTTATTTTGATACAAGAAAGCCCCAAGGTTCCAGAGCCCAAACCATAACCATGTCCGCCTGAAACGGTCCAGGACGAATCAGTAACTTGCATTTGTAGATTCAAAATAATAGTCAATAACTTTTTCATCTGGGCCAAAATAACTTTTTTTTCTTTAAATAAATGTTTAATCCATTTATTGAGGAACGAAAAGAGACAGCACAACAAGGCGAGTTCATTGATTCCTTTTAGTGTTTGCAATCTGAGATCACCTTCAGAGAAGCATTTACAAACACTGAATGGAGTTTAAAATAGTTTGTAAGCAAGACCCCAAACTGGTTGTTTTCACAGAATCAAGTTAGAACCGGCTCTAGATACGGCGCTTTGGGTAAAGTGGATTACAGACTGCTGATATATCATTTTATCCAGTTATTGCCGGGAGTGGGTTTAGTAAATTACATCATACGACTGAAAATAAAACAAAACGACATCATAGATTTCGTTTTGAAAGCTTTGACAAAGCAGAGTAGAACAGAGTTTCTCGCTCCAACCCAGTAGGATGTGATTTTATCATAGAGCCTTTGTTGTTACTGTCACGGCCTAATGTTTCATATCATTACAAACCATATCAGCTATTCAATCTGTAATCGTAATGCAGCACGCACTTGAAACTATCTCTCTAATGGACTCATCAAAGTGCATTCCAACAGAGAGAAGTCGTTATTTGTGATTTATACTGGAGATGAATATCAGAATGAATAGAAAGATGCCCTACAAATTGGATAACAAAGGGACATGTTTTCTTGCCATCTTGAGACGTGGTGGAAAAACAGTTGGGTATCTAAGAGATGGTGATAACACTCTCCCTCTGTTTGCAGGCCAGAAACTGTTCAGCTGTCACATGTGCAACACCTCCTTCTCCACAAAGGGCAGCCTGAAGGTGCACATGCGCCTCCATACCGGCTCCAAGCCCTTCAAGTGTCCTTTCTGCGAGCTACGCTTCAGAACTTCAGGCCACCGCAAAACCCACATCCAGTGTCACCTCCGTCCAAACAGCGACAGCCGCAAAGCCAAGCGCGCCTCTTCATCCATTAGTCTGGCCAGACAGAATCAAGACCTGAGCACGGGGCAGGCTGTGGCTTCAGGCCAAGGGCAGCAGCCCACTTCCTCTGAGGCCCTTCAACCCGTGTGTCTGTTTCAAACCTCCAACTCCGACCCTAGCATTTACCTTCCAGCCAATCAAGTCCTGGCGGGCCAGTTTGATCAGAATTTGATGCAACCAGGACTTGTAGGCCAAGCCATCCTGCCTGCCTCCATGTCAGGTAGGCATCATGGGTTACTTCATTCCTTTTGATGTTTGTACTCACCTGAGAAAGACTAAAGCTCCCGAGCATCAAAGGCTTCTGCACGAGGCACAAGCATGCTCTAAATGCCATCAAGAGGCTATACACGCATATTTTTAAAGAGTTGAATTTTTAATGGTTTGATAACTGATAATTGTATCCAATATTCCAGTCAAGTATGCCCTTTCTGATTTTTATTTTTTAAAGTTAACTGGAAGACAACCTCCTCACCCCCTGGTCCTTTAATTATCAAATGTCTGCCCTGCCGAGTCTCAAACTTTTTCAGATTCAGCCTTGTTGTTATTGAAAATGTTATTTGTGTGTGTTCCACCCGCAGGAGAGCTGACCGTGTCTCTCCCCGACGGCCTGACAACACTAGATGGCATCCACTTACAGCTGACTCCGGCCAACCTGGTGTGCCCCAACGTCCAGATCTCTGGCATCGATACTAGCAACATCAACAACATCACGCTACAGGTGACCTGGAGGGGCCCGCTCACCTCAGATTATGACACAGAATGTTTCTTTGTCCTGAATTTAAATGACCACCAACATCTGCTCACAGTGCACAGATAACACACCCGATGATTATATGCATGCTGTGTAGTTCTGTGCACTCGTCCAGAAATGCTGGGATGAGTTTTGTGAGGAACTGTCAACATGGCTCAGGTGTAATATTCCATTATGCCCCACACTGTGTGTACTGGGTAACTTGGGTGGCACAAATATGGAAATTAATTCAGCACCCATAGTCCTCTCTGCTCTATGTATCACCTGGCTGAGGGGGAGTCGCTCATTTAATCTTGCGGTTGGCTTTGATGGCCCGTAGATGGAGCTTCTATGCGGTGGTGGGTGGATTCCCTGGGGGCCAATGAGAGCAATGAGGAGGAAAGTTAAATAATTACATCCTTTGAACATCACCGGTAAAGGGAGATCCCTTGTTGACAAAACTAACCAGCTTGCAGCGCTCTTCACCCCTGCTGTGAAGACACAGCAGGGGTATCAGAAATTTTATATTATTGTATGATACAATTTAAACATGCGGGTGTATACTAATCTGTGGTTGTTATGGGCTATCAGGTACTGCAGATGGTGACCATTGAAAATATGGTCATGATCTAAAGCACACTGCATCAAACATAGAGGAGTAAGGTGGGATGGGCATCTGGTTGCTAATAAGCTACATCACAAGAGCTTGTTGGTGAGATTTATAGGTATTCTGAGGTGAAAAAAAAACATTTTAAAGAGGCCATGGATAAGATGAGAAACCCAAGGCACCTATATATCAGGTAAAGCAGAGCATCTACATCCTCCTGATCCTCATGTTTTTTCCCCTCGTTTTCCTGGCAGATCGACCATGCCCTCCTCCAGCAGACCTTGCAGCAGAACAATCTTCTCCCTCAGCCCCTGAGCGTTGACACGGGCCTGGTGTCCCACTCGGGCAGCCAGCTCATGTCTACGACAGACACCTCGGTGTCTGCCAACGTAGTGATCCACCCTCTGACCAGCCTTGCCCTGCAGCCGTCCACTATCACACCTCCACAGGTCTCAATGGCTGCCCTGACCGAGCAGGATCCTGCAGGTAGGTGACAAGCCTTTTGCGGGGGGGAAGAAAAACTGTCAACAGCCAGTGAAATGTATCTACGGCTTACTGTGTTGATGTGCAGGCTCCCAAGATCTAAATCATGTCATGGGTAGCTCTGGGCTGGTATCCGGGGGCAGCAGCAATCAGGAGATTACTCTGACTATCAACAATTCCAGCCTGACGCAAGCCCTCGCCCAGGTCCAGGCCCAGGCCTCCTCTGCTGGTTCCAGCACGGCTGCAGGAAACCCTCAGGAGATCACCCTCACCATATCAGGTACACAGAGTTGGACGCGGCGCAGCTGAATTAGTCTTTTCACAAGTGCAGAGCAAAGCAGCGGATGATCAAATCAAAACAAACAGGCAGGGTGATTTCCCCAGAGGACAGATATGCTTATTGATTTTTCACCTAGACAAACACGTAGGTGGGAAAGAAGAGAATAAAGGACAAAATAATAACTCAGAGCCCTGTCATGCTGTTTGAAGATACCTCACAAATCCAGGCTAAAAGCTGCCGCGTTGGAGATAATTGATAAGACACCCTGCTACTACTGTAGTCCATATGAGCTCCCTATATACTGTATGTTTTATCCACAGTGTAGAGTAAACCACTTCATCGAGATAAATCTCTCTCTTTTAATGTAAAATCTAGAATTTGATTCCTTTTTTTAACTGGTATTTCATTATTCAGTAGCTTTAGAAAGCAATTACATTAATTCTATTTTTCTTAATGCCATGCATTTTCAAGTAATTAAAAGACCTAGTATGAAATCATTTTGTAATAGAGTACCATTAATACATAAATGTGGATTTCACGTAATAAGATTATCATGTTTGAAATAATTCATTTTTATAGTTCTTTGATAGTGATATGATCATAAGTGATTGTTGCCTGTATGATCACTTCTGGATTTTACTGCTCAGTAGTTAACTTCTAGACTCTCATTAGCTCAGAAATTCAGTATTGGCTTTTAATGACCATGGCGCTTATTAAATGTTATCTATGAGCAAAAGTTGCTCTATTTAAATGCTGGAAATCTTTTTAAGGGCCCAGTACCACCACAGGTGGGAAGTTATTCCAACAAAAAAACTGAAATTGTTACTCTGCTGTGGCCTCATTAGACAATCTTTTGACTTACTTCAGAAGTATTCTTACAATTAGTTTCTGGAATCCCTTTTTCAGGTCAAGATTTGCTCCCCCCGCATAGCAATCCAAATGGAACAGAGATGACTGGCGGCATCAGGCTGGCATCGTCGCTCACCAGCCAGCCCGGCAACGCAACCCTGACCATCACCAATGACCACCTTCTACCTCAGAGCCCCTCCAACACTGGAATGGCAGGTTAGCACTACAAGTATCTCCTTTCTGCAAAATGTTGACCTCACATTTAAATTCCACACTCCATGTTGCCGTTGAGTCCTTGAAGCATTTATTCTATCTTTATTGCTACTTATGGTATGAAAGGGCAGTTTTTTAAAAGGGTTTCTGGAATGACTGCAGCTGGAGAGACTGTAAATCTTTCAGATACAAAAGCTTTTGTGAAAGTAGTTTGAATAGTTTCTCCAACCATCACTTTCCTTTCATTGCCAGGCATGCATTCTACTGCCTGTTCTTTTAAACATGCTTTCGTTTCTTTAACAAAACAAAGAGTGGCATTTAAAAAGCCTCACAGGATCCCATGGTCTTAAAAGAAACAACATTCTGCTTTTGCTGTCGAATTAATTGGACACAAACATGCTTTGTGAAAAGTCACATAAATTAACACAAAAGCCACAGAATTTCTTCAAAAGGTAAACTTGACGTATGTATATCTCTTTACATCTCACTGACTTTAACAGCAAATCATTGTCAGACTCAACAGAAAGCTAAGAGTGACAAACTACTGATTATTTTTTAATGGTCTCAATGCAGAGAAGTATCAGAAGTAGAAAATGTGGGAACAGCTTTAAGCATAATTCTTTTAATAGTTCTAAAGGACCTGATCCTGCCTCCAGAGACAATGATAGATCCTTGGATAAAACTAAATTATTGATTGAGAAGCTGAAACTGCCTGCCAGTCTTTGGGCTTTTGTGAAATGCCAATGCTATGGTCTGTGCCCCCAGTTTGTGGGATGCTGGAATAACTGCTAGACTTTTTAAAGCGTTCATTGTCCCACAGTGAGGTTGGTATAATAATGATTAAGTTTGTGAATATACATCTTTTCTTAATTCAAATCAATGGCTTTTAAAGAAATAAAAGAGGAAAAAAGACAATTTTAATCAAGATTTAGTTTAAAAGAAGCTTCTGTGATCAAGGCTGGACAGAGGATTTTGAGATTAATACATATGTGAGATAATAATGTAATTAGTTTCTTATTCAGAGGAATATTAAAAAGGGATTTTCACTTTTCCTGCAACAATAAACTATTCAAATAATCAAGAGGATAGCCAATGATCTTGGATTGCTTAGAGGGCATTGCAACTAGTGGTGTTCACCAACAGTTGACTGACCACATGCGATGAATTACTGTGGCCTTTTCAAACTATACAGTGCGCTCCAACATCAGTCTTCACCTTGTCGCCCTTTAAAAGGACGATGCTACACTGAGCATGCGTTAAAAAGGCATGGTTGTTATAGGAAGACGGAACATGTACTGGACTAGTCTGCCTGGAGCCCCGACCCGTCCCCCGTGTGGATGTGTGGATGATATCCAAACAATGTGACAACACCATGTCCTTCTTTTGCACACCATAAGACTTGTCTGCAGGAAAAGAAAATAGGATGAAATAACACCTGCTAAGGTTCATCAGTCCGCCAGCACACCTTCTAAGTATCTTTGAAAGAGTGGCAGCTTAAAAAAATGGCAGAAACCTTTCTCTTTCACTCTTTTTCCAGAATTGTCTAGATATGCAATACAAAGAGGTTTTTATATGAACAAATACAGTAATAATATAATGCAGGTAAGAGGCTCATATACAAGAAAAATGTGTATAATATATCAACTCCAACATAGTGTGTATTTTGTAGATATATTCTTATAGATTACAAATAGTACACTAAAAATGATGGAAAAACAAGCTATTTTATGGTGTCCAAGGGCCTCTTAAATACAGGTTCCATAAAGGTGGGTCTGTATTAATGTGAATGTGTTGGGTTACCCTGCATCTGGCTGACACGATCTCTCTCTTCCACCTTTCAGTCACCAGTCTGCCATCTAGCACCACTTTGTCGCATACTGCTGCCTCCCAGAGCCTGGTGATGTCACCGGGGGGTATGGCCAGTGACGGCAGTGTCACCCTAACCCTCGCAGATGCCCAGGGCATGCTGGACGGTGTCACCCTGAACCTAAATACACAGGTAAAGACATTTTAACCTCTGTCCACATGGTTTTACCCAAATCCAGCTAGATCCTGTGGAAATCACTAACTCCCACTGTCAAACATCTACAGTGGAAATGACATTTCAGATGTAATTATTTACCGAGTGCATTTTGCTTTAGGCCCAGACATACCCGGCAGTGCTGAATGAGTCGGACATACCGGTACAGCCGGTCACCTCGGGCCAGCAGGTCGTACTGGTCAGCCACAATCCCCAGCCGACCAACGGAGCGCCTGACAATAGCTACAGCGTGAGTGCAGTGCATGCCAACGGACCAACGCACTCAGATGAAACGGCTACCTCAGCGAAATTAGTATCAGCCATCTGTCATTCCCATCTGATTATTCAAACAAATTTTTTTTTAAAAGTTTGCTCGAAAACGCTTTCAGTTTTTCTAAATGTTTGTCTTGCCATCCCAATTAATTTTTTTATTTTTTTCCCTCCAGAATACCAATGACGGCCATAAAGGTGGGAAAGGCCAACAGATGGAGTCCGACAGCCGGAACCAGTGTTTCTACTGTAGCCAGGTGTTTCAGAATGCCAATTCTCTGCGACGCCACTGCCGACAGGCGCACGGCAAAGACCGCTGTCACGTCTGCAGCGTCTGTAGGAAGGCCTTCAAGCGAGCTACGCACCTCAAGGTTAGAAGCACCGATGGAAAGCCCAAGCTATAGCGTAACTCTATTTGAAGCTAGTGGTCATTCAAAACTTGATCCTCTGAAGGCCACCTGACTTATCGTCAAGTGGCATTAAAGATAGACCCAGTTGGAATCAGAGCACTGAAGCCAAGAGGGGGATTTGCTGCCAAATGATGTAGCGGAAAATTATGGACAACCTTCTTTACGTTGTTGGAACAATCATTTATTGTAGAGCCCCAGGAGAAGGGGGATATGGTTTTAAAATCGAGCTGTATGTCAGCTTTGGACACAAAGGCCACTGTGCCACAGTCTCCCGCCTTTGTAAATGCGCCCCAACATGCCGGGTAATGCTCGTTTCTCATTAAGAGTAATGACACTGCCATTAGTCTCAACCGAGCTCGCTGCTCTCGAGGTCCCTCAGCTACTCATTAGTGTCCATCCAGGGCGTGAATATGTGCTCTAGACATCTGAGAAAAGAGCCATGTGTGAGCGTTTTTTATTCTATTTTTTGATTTAGTTCAAAAGTAGACAAAATTTTGGTCATTTTTAGTATAGCCGTACAACTTGTATCCATCAGCCTAATTATTCCATCAAACTGAGAATGTACCCACTTCTGGGATAGGCTCCAGCCCCTTTCAGCATAGCAGATGGAAGGATGGATGGATGGATGGATTTCCTTTACTTAAAAAAAAAATCTTATACTCTGACCACCGTTGTGGTGTTTTCCATTAAAGTAGTGACACGGGCCAGCTGCTCCCTGTAGACAACCCCAGTCTCTGCACATTAAAGCAGCTCAGATAGGACCTACTTTCAGCATTTTCAGTTTGAACCAGAGAACGCAGCATAAGAGGTGGAGATCAGAAACGTGGGAGGTAAGAGAGTAGCAGAACACAAACTGAGGAGGACATCGATATGAATATGGGCCGAAAATGCTGTGAGAGCACATCCTTGGTTTGTTGGCTGCCTTTCTTTGCTCTGCGCATTCTTTAGGGAAGCTTTATAGACTTGCTTTACTTTCGCTCTGGATGTATTTCAAAATGTCAGGTCTTTAAAGAAATTCCCAGGTTTAAAAAAAAAACTGTTTTAAATAGGTTCATACCTCTGAATGGGTTTAACTTCCTCTCAAACACTCGTTTGACTTTTGCTATCTTTTTTTAAAATATATATAACACTTTTCTCTCGTATCTTTGTTTTATCTGACCTTTTTGTTCTTTGTCCTGCTGAATATTTGCCATGGTGTGTATAACCCCCAGCTTCCTCAAGTCTTGTCCTGAAATTAATCAACTATAATGAAGTAATGTTCTTATCTGTGGTACTTATCTAACAAATTGTTTAATCTTTGAAAAATGCAGAATTTGCTCAGATTTGGTAACATATTGTATGCAACTTAACCAATATCTCATCTTTGTGCCATGTTACTTGATAATGGTTTTTTGTTCAGTAATAATAGTGCCTTCCCATGTGTCCACTAGACAGTACTTCATTTTTCTTTAGTCGGTCTTAAATATGATTGTTTATGGTCATTGTCATGTTGGAAATATCCTTATTTGATATCGATGGCCACTCATCATTTTAAAGGTTTTCCCACCATAACGGTCACACTTTTCTTTCACAGGAGCATGAACGAGTGCATCAGCCAGGCCCATCACCCAGCTCCCAGAAACCTAAAGTCTTCAACTGTTCTTCTTGCGTGAAGGCTTTTGCCAAGCGTAGCCAGCTGGAGAGGCACAACCGAACACACACAGGCAAGACTATTTTTTAGTTCAGAAGGAGGACTATAAAAAGAATATTCAGTTTGGCAGCATGCTCAAAAATCCTGTGAAACATCTGAGAAATGACTTAATGGGAGACACCGGCATAAAATGAACGGCCCAGAGAGAGCTGATTTAGGAAAGAGACTTCACTGAGACTCAGTGGGGGCAAATACTTCAACTGTCACAAGATCAAATTCTCATTAGTGCTCAAAATCATCACATGGGCTTGTCCATGGACCATTTTGTGCAAAGAAAAAACTTAATCATTCTGTTTTTCGGGGGGGGGGGCTGTTTTATGATCTGATAAATTCCCTTTGTTGTTCATTTTCGTTGTTTAACGTATAAGCCAGACCCCCTTGAAAAATAGAAATCAACACAGAGCTGTGATTACCAGCCCTCAACCCACATGAAGAAAGTAATTTCCGGTAATAGTGGGTGGGTTCATTAATGCTCGTCTGTGAAGGCGCCGAATGATGTTCTCTGAATTGGCTGCTGAATGGTAATAAGCCACAGTTTATTAACTGATAGAAAGGTGAAAAATAGCTCTTCGGCCAGCCTTGTTGGATTTTCTCTTAAAGAGGAATGGTCGAAACTCAGCTGTAGGGTTTGAATAGCACCCGTCGTTGGATGTTTCTGATGTTCTTGCCAAGGACCTGCCTTGACCTTTGCGTTTAGATTCATGTGAATTAGTAAAAACCTTATCCCCAAACGCTTCTGCACACTGTTTCACAATTTGCCCAGCTTCTTCCAAATAGGTTTGAGCAGCAGATATCCATGTTTTTAACACCGTTGCAATTTTTATTTTGTATAATCTTTTTTTGTGCTGGAGGTGCCCATGACCTCATTTTTTATGAGCACTACTCTGAAGTGCTTATTGTTGCTAGGTTACAAGAACTCCTTACTAACATTAAGGATGATTCTCCATATTCTGATCCTTTAGGAGTGTTTCTGTATTTTCAAATATGTTATCTAATTGATTAGCAAACTCGAAGTGAACCGCAATGCAATATTTTGAGCGTCTGACAGCATTTTGCGACAGTCTTCAAAATTTCGGTGGTGTCTGTTTCGGCTGCAGGCGAGCGACCCTTCAAGTGCAGCGAGTGTGACAAGGCCTTCAACCAGAAGAGCGCCCTCCAGGTCCATATGGTCAAACACACTGGAAAGAAGCCCTTTAAGTGTGAGGTGTGCAGCATCAGGTTCACCCAGAAGAGCAACATGAAACACCACATGAAGAGGTCCCATGGCTACGGTGGGTGAGCAGCTAGGCGGCACACACACACACACACACACACACACACACACACACGCGCGCGCGCGCACACACACGCGCATTACCTTCCTGTAAATCAGTGTATCCTTCTTTCATGAGCAATTTCTACAAGCATATCTAGCTCCCCTTTTCGTTTTTGTGTTGCTTATTTTAGCCACCCGCAGCCACATTTCAGCTCACATCTCAGAGTCTTTCTCTTTGCCCTGCTATTTACTCTTCATTATCTGTTTGGAGCCGGCCTGCATGCACCTCCTTGCTGAAAGGCTGGGGTGATATCAGAGGCCAGGTCCATCCACTCGGCCCACTTAAAAGCCCCTCTCTTGCCAACTAGCAGGAGTTCATTTATTGCCTTTTCCCTGACAGCATCACAGCTGAGGATCAGGCTGCTTCATCCCCTCGGTTAACCCAAAGTCCAGATCATGACTGAGATACAAACACACACATCTTTATTGATCACCTTGGAACCTGACTGGTGTAGATTGGTGCTGAGGAGACAGTCCTGGAAAACAAAACAGCTTCAACTAGGGTCCCCCCAGCTGGGTGGCAGTGGGAAATGTAAATAGTGTGTTCAGGACTGCTGCTCCACATGGATGAGAGTAGTGCGGATCTAAAGGGTTAGATAAACTCAATTTCTCATGCCGGATTGACGCTTACAGGCCGAGTGACCTGACTTGACACTCCTGAAAACTCAGCTGTCAGTTTGTTTACGGCTTTTAGACGACACGCAGCGTGCGCAGACAGCGGAGAGCTCCCACGAGTCGGAGACTAATGAACAGAAACGGAAGCCACTGGCTGGTTTCTGCCACAGAGGCTCTGAGCAGTCGCAGGCTCGCGTGGGACCCGCAGCATCCTGACTCCATAAACTTTTAACGCTGTCGACAGGTTTCTGGACAAAAACGCCCAATCTGTAAGGCGCCCTTGGGTTCGATCATTTGAGGTTTAGGTTAAGAGTCATGCTACCTTGGGCTATTAGATGTTATGCATAATCCATGGTGCCCAATGAAGGGCATTCACATAAGGCCCTGGGGCAAAAGGTCTGGGTGACCTACAAATAAGCTTTTGTGAAATCATCATTTTACCCTACAATAACCCTGGGATAATGGGGATAAACGGCAGGCATGCTGCTTAATATCCCCTTTTAAGGTCCTCCCCGCAGTTCCCTGCTGAACACTTTGAGTCCCCCCCAAAAAAAACAAAAAAAAAAACAACATTTCCTCTATTTAAATTGGATAACACAATTTACGCCTTCATTCAGCTGAGGGAATTAAGTCATCAGAGCACTTCATATCATATCAAAGTATTGTTTCTTATTCTATCCCCTTTTGTTCATTCCCAAATGATCATGTCCGTTCAGATCAATTATTGATCATTTTGTCTTGTTATCACAGCTTAGCAGCCGTGCGTTTGTGGCCTCTCACACTCGGAGTGAAAAAATAAAGGGGACGTAATTAAATGACTCCCACTGTGAAATTGTGGCCGGCAGCCTCAGGCGGGACGTGAACGCCCCTCCTCGCACCAGCGCCGTCGTTCCATCGTGCTCCAGTTACTCGAAATGGAAATGGCTGGCATCATATTTACATCTCCCAATGCGTCCTCCTCATCCGTCAGGACGTTGGTGCAGGGATGTTTTAACGGACGTGGTACTTTCAGAGAAAAGAGGGAGTGTGCGATATTAAAACAAATGTAGGAGGAAGGAGGAGTGGAGGATTGCTTTTTGACGGAGGGCCTCGTTGTTATGACGATCTGTGGCAAACTGCAGGGCGCCGGAGGCGTTAATGGGCTCGTGCTTTTGGTTCTACGGAGTTGTTTCATTACAGGGGAAGCACCTCGCTGAAGGAGCTGCGTAGATGGCCCGTTTATTTTCCCTCTGTTTGTTTTTCCTCCCCTCCAGTCCAAATGCAGGACGTGGCCCTGGGCCAAGAGGAGCCCTCGCCCCAGGTCGAGGTCACGCCCGAGCTTGATCTGGAAGTGGTCCCCGAATCAACCGGAGACTGGCACAACGTGTTCCCGTGAAAAGAAAAAGAAAGAAGAAAGGGAGCGACCGTAGCGCTTAGTTTCTCAGTGTGACGTGGGGGGGAAAGAAAGCTTTTGGACTTTATAAATTCGCCCCGGCTCCTATGGAGGATTCGAACTCCACAAGGGAGCCGTGTTCTGTCTATCCAAATTAGCGGTGAAAGTCAGGGGAGTCTGGTTCTCCGGATCAGCCTAATGACTTCAATCTGTTTTGCTGCCGTCTTTTGTCATCAGCGAGAAAACCTCTGGAGAGGCTGGGCGCTGTAAAGCCAGACAGGCTCTAACCACAGAGATGAAGCTGTAGGTGCACGTGCCCTTGTGACAGCACATGAGTTGGGAAGCTTGTTTTTGTGTTTTTCTATTATTTTATTTTTTTACTGTACATATGTCATAAGGAGATGAATTTTCTTTTTAAGTTCTGTACTAAACATGTCAGCATTATGTTTCCCTTTGTCATATACTTTGGATTTGCATCAGCATCCCTGTAGTTAATTCTGTAAATATCGTGGGTTAGATTGCGTATATATTTTCTGAAGAGCCACCAGAGTACAGATTGTTTGAATATATGTAATTTTAGCAGAAATGTTGTATTTGTTTTTTGAGCAAAGCAAATAAGCTGTCTTTTTTTTTTCTTTTGCAGTGGCATTTTCTATTGGTGATAAATTAAGGTTAAAGTAAAATTTTCTATCAAGTCAACCTCTTGTCTGTTTCTTATTTTCTTCATGTTGAAGCAATAAGCTTTCAGCGTGTCCTAATCCTCATTTCAACAACAATTGTAACTTCACCCAACTGTAAAATCCTATGCCCCAATTAGAAGTGCTTTCATTGATAACTATAAAACTCTGAAAGCAGCCTTTAATTAGCAACTTTCCACTTAGGGTGCATCCATGATACCTAAATTTCAAGATTTCAAAGTAAAAAAAAAACAGAGAAATTCTAAAGTAATGTCTGTGACAACAAAAGCCAGCGGCCTGTGTAATGGTGTGGATGAATGGAGGAGGGCAGAGCACATTCAGTGATTATATATGTTTGAGGGAACGACTCCTGAGTGTCTCAGTACACATTTGACAGACATATATCTGCAGGTCCCATTATACAAGATCTTCTGCTAGCTAAGCATCCCCTTTTTTTTTTTTTGAAAGGCTGGTCATTGCCTGTGTTTTTTCCATAGTTTTTTCTGTTGCGTTTATCATGCAGTATGAGTTCACACAATAATCCCACATTTAATACTGTTTCACTTGCGTAGAAGTAGCGTTTTATAACTTATGATCATTTGATATGATTCCATACCTATAAGCCTCTGTGGTGAATTCAGCCCTGACAGACTGTAAACGGTTTGATCTTTCGCTGACATGATTGCGTTCTGGAAACACAGAGATTACAATTTGCACCCTCTTGTTTAAATACAGTGATAATGAGGCAGAAACCATCGGAGTCGAGTCCTCTTGGGGAGATGCATTTAAATTTCAGACTGCCTTCGTGCAACATGACATGAAAATGCATTGGCTCTGCAACTGTTCTCCGGCCAGAATAGTGAGCACTCCATCGGCTCCAGCTGGGACAGCTTTGGCATGAATGATGATTACCTAATGCAGCCCACCTTTTCATGACCTTCCCCATGCCTTTTGTGCTTCATGATGGCATCGGCAAAACCCCGAATTTATCACCTCTCTGCACTGCCATTTTCTGTCCAGGCAAAGTTAAAGAAACGGCAGACAATCAAGACACGGAGAGAAGCGTTTGCTTTCTTTTAATTTTATTTCACAATGTTTTTTTTTTTTTATTCTCAGTTAAGTGGCAGGTCATGTTTTATTACACTGACAGTGATGAGGAGGTTGTTTTTTTTTTTACATTCATTCCCAGGATACGTTCAGCAGTAAACACTACACAGTACTCACAAGGCTCAAGCACACACAAAGTAAGAGGGATGAACACAACAGATCACACATGCCTGCTTTTGGAAGACGGATGAAGCATTTCTAATATGACTTTTGTTTTTTTTGGCACATTCTTAGAATAATGTGTCATCACCATTAGTTAAAGAGCACCTTTTTGAAATTGTGTGTTTTTTTCTGTCTTTATTATTTACCAGAAGAAAACAGCGTGTTTTTTTGGGGTAGTCTGTAGGGAAAAAAGGCACTTATTGAGTGTGCAGCGCATGGGACAGAAACGATGACGAGAATAAATAAAAAACCTACAGCAGACTACACTAAAGCTTTGTAGACAGCTCTGAATCTGGTGCCAAACCTCAGATTCAGATTCTTTTCTTCTTTTTTTTTTTTTTAATGGAAAACTACACTACGAAATACTGGAGTTAAACAGGGAACGATCAAATAAGTCGTGTCATTATCATTATCTAATAGACTGGATAAGAAATGGGTGTGTTTCTTTTAGCATGAAATTCACAGCCAACCTTAGGTCCTATATGACGAACACGTATCAACATCACATTCAAGACAAGACAAAACTACAGCTACGACACGAGAGGCGAATCAAAACATTACGACCGAAGTGGCTCTCACCAGAAAAAAGGAAGAAAAAACCGTGTTAAACCTTTTTTTGCACAAAACAACACTGGAACTCGGGGCGCTTTTCTAAGAAGAAAAGGCGGGGGAGAGATTGACGCAGACAGGGGGGCGACGGGACAGAAAACCGCTCTTTTTTTTCTAAAGACTGAGGCCACCCGGGCTTTTCACCCAACCAGAAAACAGGCAGAAAAAAACGGTCAAGTCTGGAGCGCTTGCACCGGCCTTTAACCCTCAGGCTGCTCCGGGTCGGCCTCAGATTAGCCAACGTGGGTTATTCAGACAAAAAAAAGACACCGCAAAAACTCAAGCTGTATGTAGAGAGCCTTGGGGGGGGGGGGGGGGGGGGTCAGAGGTCATTCAGGCTGCACACGTGAGCGGCTTCAGGGATCAACTTCAGCAATCAGTTCACACCGGCGATGATGATGATGGCTGCGCAGGCTTAGCACGAGGCTGGCGGGGGGAGGAAGGGCGGCGGGGGGGGGGGGGGGGGGGGGCGGGGGGGGGGTCAGATTGTGTCGCTAACTATCAGCCGAAGGGGTGTGGAAGGGGGGGGCAGTAATATGGGGAAAGGTGGGGTTTATAGCGAACATTAGGGTGTTAACAAAGGCAACTGGGAATAAGTGTGACGGGTTGACAAGATTTTCCTCCTCTTCTTCCTCTTTTCTTTTTCTCTCCCCCCCCCCCCCTCCTCCGAGCTCTTCAACATATGCCCTTTTGCGGTTGGAAGGGGTTGTAGAGGGTGGGCTTCAGCGTTTGGCTGGAGAAGCACTCCTGCTTCCCTGTAAAGGAGATGCAACACGTCAGTTTTCATTATCAAGAGTCTTTTTTTTTACCCAAAGTTAGTCATGTGAGGAGTTAAGTCAACAGCGGAGCCGCAGAAGAGTGAATTTTCACCATCTAAAGCGACTCAAAACCGCTGACATTTCAGAGCAAATGACGCTTTTGTTAGCATTTCACAAGCCGGTTATTTAACCATTCGCTTTCAATCCATTTACACACACAGCATGGCAACACATCCTTCCTTAAATCTGTCAAATCGGAAAAATAAATGAGAAAACCTAGCAGCTGCTTTCTGTCTGGTATATTTAGCACTGAGCTACCTCGAACAATTCCACATTAAAAAAAAAAGGTGGTGATCTTCTTTTATGGAGTCGCTGGACACAGTGTGTGAGTCATCGCAGGCCTGACAGTGAGCCGCTTGGATAATTTGTAATTCTCTTTTTGTAAGGACGCAGAACGTATCTAATTAGGTTTGACTGCCTCTTCCGTCGAGCCAAAGGCCGGCTCTCACGAGTGGCCAGAGTAAGTATCTTTCAGCCTTTTTCTCTGTCCTCTGTTCTCCCTCTGAATGATGAGACCAGGGCTTCACTCTGAGGAGTCACCATACTCATTTAAAGTGAGACATAAACATTTGCAAAGCTGTGTGCGTTCATAGGCTTTGAGGACGATATGCAAAAGGAGGATCAGAATGAACGGATTTCAAATGTATGGGACACTGTCATAACTTCTATGATGCTGAACCAGGTTAGTCAAACCTGTGACTCAACACGAGAGGAAAGCAGACCAAACTCATGAGCGAAACAAGTGTACCACTTCAATCATTTTTAAAGTCTTAGTCTTAACAGTATTGTTTTCTTTTCAGAGGTTTAACTTTAATCTTACATTGTCTGGTTTATCCGATTTTGATATAAACTGACTACATAATTATCTACTTTGAGAGAGACCCCTCCTCAGGAATGGATGCTGATGGCTAAGCTGTGAAAATGTGTACAGCTGGAACATGCATCTTTAAAAAAAAAAGGAAAAAAAAGAAAGTAGTTTTTGTTTGCTGTGGTCCACTGACAAATGCAAGTAATCAATATTACTTAGCTAAATACAGAAAGCATTACCAATTCAGCAGTGCCGGTTCGATCTTTTATCCTGCCCGCTGTTGTTCTCTGAACTGGAATAAAAGCCTCTTCTAGGGGAACTCATTTGCATAATTTGAGGCACAAATCAAATCTGTGCTCTCGCCAGATGTCTGTGGATACAGGCCATAATCAAAACAAAAGTAACTATATTCAACAACAAAACGTGCCAAATCAATACTGAACTCATTATAGACGGTGGCTCTATTGTTCACGCTGGGTCAAAAGAAACCCAGGGGAACATATTCAAGCCACCATTTTGCATTTCCAGATGCAATTTTTCTAGAACAAAGTAAGGAATTACAATTAAATAAACTTGAATTATAAAACAGAGACTATTCAAATTCATAATCCTTCTTTTTGTCTTTCTCTGCTGTCATTTGGACTTTATGTAGATACATGTGAAATCTCTAACAATTTTGGATTTTATTTTTAAATGCATTCCCTCAATAGGTGTTCTGTCTGTCAGAAGAAAAAGACTTGGGAGGACTTTGATTTTCATCGATTGCCTCAAAGACTCTTTTAATCCACTGGGAAATTTAAAACGGTTTGAATTTGCCTTCCTACATATGTTTTCTCACCCAAAGATAAAATTGAACGATTGTGAGAGGCAAAAAGATTATACAAACAAGACTAATCTTTATGGATTACTCAAGAAGATAATCCATAGTGTGAAAAATGTCTTATGAGAGCAAAAAACAGAGCCTTTATTCCAGTCGTGCTCTGGGAAGGCATTATCTGTCTAGAAAAGCTTCATATAGGACATCAGAACTCAGATTTAAATCTAACACTCAGAGCACAAATGAATGGAAATGAGATTTCTGGACTTCTGTGCTGTTTCAGTGTTGGAGAGACACTAGTGATGGGATAATGCCACTGAGTCCAAACTAATTAGGTAAGACAGAGATTTTCAAAACAAGCATCCCAGAGGTGCATCACCCTCCGAATTGTTTACTCTTGTAGCTCGGTGACAACCATTTAGGCTCTGCAAACAGGATGCGGCCCTGGGGAAATCTGAGTTTCTTCCCACCTCCACTAATTGCTGAACTAACTAATCTGTGATGCAGTCAGAGTGGCTGGTTGTTTATACGCCATCAAGACAAAACTACCGGAGCATGCAAGCTGACACTCTTTATCATGACAATGTGAAAAGCCAAAAGACATCAAATTTCAGTGCCAGAGTTTGAAAACATCATTTAGTAACTGGAAAGCCGCGAATGCACTCTGTGATAAAATACTGCTTATCGTTTCAAAAACACAGAGTTGACACTTCTACTTAGCAAACACACGTCAGTCTTTACTGAGTTTATAATCTTTATCAACATGGCTGACTTTTGGCTGACTGTATTTTTCGGTTTTGGTACTTTTTGTGTGTTACGACTAGAGTCGTCAGCGTTTCTTCCTAAATGCAAATGTGAGTGTGCAGGTGCCGATTGCTGATTGGATCCCGTAGGTTGGAGACATCGGATTGGTGGACTGATAAAGTGAAGCATTTAAATAATGAAGACGCAGAAAGCCTGTTATCCCCCATTGTCTGATTATCGCAAATGCCCCAAAGTTGCGTAGCTACCACATTAAAACCAAACTGTATATATTGTGGTGAGGAGTTTCTAGGAATGAGCCACCGTTTATGTTTGCGTTAGTTTTCTCCCGCTTATTTAGTTTGGGAGGTTAGTCCTTGTCATTTGGTTTATCGCTTTATTTTATTAGGTAAGTGTTGTTTTATGGAGATAGTTTCAGTTGGTTTGTTATTTTCGGCCTTGATTCACTCAAGTAACTTTGAATAAATCAAGATTCTGCCGGTTGGAATTGACAATTGTTGTGGCTATCTGAGATTAGTCGAGCATTGCCGATCACTTATAATATTTGAAACTCCCAACTTTAGTTTTTTTTTAACCTGATGCCTGTATTTGTGGGAGCTGACCACCTCAATGCAGCTGAAGGAGTTTGGAAATAGGCCAGGACAGTCCTGTTAACAGGACTGTTAATACAAATGGAAAAAATAAAAAAATGTGCACAAGCACCAACTCTCTCTTGCCAGAGCAGGTACTTTGTGTTAGATGTAGGCTATGCCTTCCTGGCCCTCATCAGAATTGATTCTGCCATCTTTCAGCGTGATTCTATCAGCGCTGCCCTAAAGCTTGTAGCATGCTCCCGTGGTCAATCTAGTGCCTGAAAGCCTCTTATTATTCTGCTGCTGGCTGCCGGAGCGATGAATGGCATTGTGAGGCTGTCCGAGCACATCAGTGTACAAAAGCACAACGTATCCAATAGACGCCGAGTTAAATGCAAGCATCCCTCCGTTAGATATGGATTACTCACTCTGCCAAGATATGATCACTGAGACAGAAAAGGAAAACAGGGGCAAGAGTGTGGTTAGGGAAGAAGTCCACATTCCCATGCATTAAAGAGTAGAAGTGAAAAGACACTATAGGGTAATTTCTTTGTCAGTTCATCCCTTTCTTTTTACCATTTTGAAGATCCTAGTCAGGGAGCCTTTTCCGTCCCCTGCTGCCTTCTTGCTTGACTTCTGAGGGCCCTACAAGAGGAACAGAACACAACAAAGGCAGTCCATGAAATATTAAGATGTGGCTGACCTTCCCAAAGAGAGTCATGGATTAGCTCATTCTGACTTCCCCTTCAGGGTGCTGAAACACTCGTTCACTAATTACCCTGCTAGAGATTTTTGGATCATGCATTCTGGTCCTAGCACGGTCTTCACCATACTTGTCCATGTAACCCAATAACTTGGATGTATTGTCTCCTCGACTCATGTTTGAAATTTAGTTTACAATCCAAAAGCTAATGAGATTTTTTCCCCCCCACACTATAACTCCCTAAAAGTTGTCTTTTTTCTCCTACTACAGAGGATGTTTAAATAAATAGAGGATTAATGGGAGGGAATCTAATTTCAGCCTAAAGAATTCTTATCAGCCCCTTTTGCCTTTTCTCCCCATGCCATTAACTTTTAAACAGTCCGTCTTCCTTTTTTTTTTCTTCATCTCCTCTCCTTCATGCACACACGTCTTTAAGGACTTTAATTTCAGTGATGATAAGACTGAAACGTTAGGCATCCGGCCTCAAAAGGTCTTTTGAGGTGGAACGAGGACAATGAAGAGGAGTCTAAGACTAGCGTTATCATGAATGTCCAATATATGCACATGATATGGATAGATTACAACATGGGGATGATACATTTGAAAATGGACCGTAGTGGATGATGAGGGTCTTATCGCTGATGTATGGATAAATGATGGAGCCGTAAGAGGTTGATGGAGTGCGAATGGAAGGAGAGCCAAGGATGTCACACACAGAGGCAGTTGGAAAGGGTGACCTCACTGGCTCCATCAGGTTTAATTAGCCATGATGCTCTTTTTTTTCCAATTTTCAGACAACCTACCATGCCCATCTTGGCTGCTAGTCCTCTCCACTGGGTGTGTAGAGAAACAAGAGATAGAAAAAGGGGAGGGGGGGGACAAGCTGAAAAATGTGGGTCTTACTCAGTGCAAAGGCAAGATGGGAAGGAGAGGAGGCAGGTGGGAGAGTCCATCCGGAGGGAGGGGGGGAGTCACGGGGTGGAGGATTTTCAGGTGGGATGTGGGGCAGAAGAGGGGAGCAGACGCTCACATTGGAAAGAGCACAAATTGAGAAACACATACATGCCTGTACACATTTACCGTTGTATATCTCTATGGGTCATTTACGTCTTAAGTCTTGTGAGTGAGTCTTTGCCATCTAACTGAACAAATGTCGAGATAAGTGATGTGAGCATGGAGGTGTTCAAACATTGTGATCAGCTCTGATGAGCTCAGCTCTGATATGATGAGATTCTACTCTGACGGTGAAAAGACTTTAGCTCATCTTGTGTCAGGAAGTCTGCAATTCTCGGAAATTTCAGATAACGCCGTGCACTCACCCTAGACTTGGGAGGGGCGGGGGAAACCTGGAGAAGAGTTAATAACAAGAAGAAGAAGTTTAGAGAGAATTGATAAGGTCAGAAGACGCAATGAAATAGCAAAGAGGCAAACATGGGAGCAAGGCGTAAAGAGGACATGGCTGAGACGTTCTGAAACACCAGACCCAATCCCAATATTTCTTAGGGAAGAGGAGCTCTCAATTGGCGGTACTCACGATCGTGCGGAAGAAGTGGACCACGGCGTTTTCTGCCCCGCGCTTACGTGGGGAGGTGGCGGAGGCTTTCTGAGGGCCTGGAGAGAGAGCACCTCTGAAAGAGCCCTGGGAAGACAAGGACAGGAGCAGTTAATGCAGGGCGGCCTGAAACCCTTAAGGGTTCGGTTCTGTGGGAGCTCAGGGAAACTCAAACTCAGGTCAATTAGGACGTCTTTAAAGCAGGACGGCATCTTGTCAAAGTTATTTCGCTGTTTGTCTCAGATGTAATAAAGACGTCTCATTTATAATAGAGATGTAGGCTGAGTTGAATAGATTAATAAAAAAATGGTAAATGATAACTGTGATCATTTTTACATCTGCTTTAACACATTTACAGAAGCCACTTAAAATTCTTCCTCCATCCTGAGGGTCATTTCATAGCATGTGGTTTGAATATTAAGTGACATTAAGTGTCCGGCCTGGTAACGAAGGATGTGAGATAGCTGAAGCTTCACGACTTTCCCAAAGACGTCTCATATTTGACTCCTGCTGACTGTTATTGCTTGGTGTTCTACTTTAAAACTACATTAGTATTCATGCTTTCATGTGTTAAGTCAAAATTTCCTTACAAAAGAAAAAGATGTGAACTGTCACCAAGGAAACCACTCAATGATTGGTTGTTGTGTGCTTTCAAAGGACACTTCCTGACTACATCTGTGGGAGTCATAACAAGCGTTGAGGTCCGTTCAATGGGCCTCAATGGGTTAGTCAAAATGGATCGAAACGGTACATGAGCAGTTGAAGCTGTCTGTATTTTCTTGTCAACGGGTTCATCCCAACAAATAGAACTAGTTATCAGCGGGCAAAACGCTTCAGAGTCAAACTTTGTTAAACTTATAAAGAACAGCATAGAAACATAGAACATAAACAGATGGTAACTTTCATTACAGTAAACAATCAGTATCGTCAATCCAATTTCAATACCCACTTAGTCCAATTTAAAGATGTGTGGAGGGACTAGAACCTGTCCCAGATGCTACTGGGCAGGAGTGTATGCTAGTCTATCACAGCCACACAGAGACATACAAAGCAAACAACACACCCACATTCACTCCCACAGACAATTTAGAGACGCTAATTGAGCTGACTTACATGCTTTTGAACAGTGGGAGATTTCTCACATGGGGAGAACATAGAAACTCCACAGCCGCTTCACCAGTTCTGTAACCGTTCCAGTCCAGTAAAGGAACAGGAAAATACGCGGGCATCTTTGGGGATAGGGTTGTTTCTTATGTTGTGTAAACCAAGGTGTCACATGCAAATCTTTTCATCAGTATAGAAACAAAAAGCAAATCTCTACTGCAAATCATCCTATCCTGAGGGGATGCCATGTTTGGGTTATTGTGGGATAGCATTGACTACCCATGAAAATCATTTTAATGTCCTCTGGATTCAGAGATAAGCGACTGAATGTGTTTGTGTTAGGAAGGGGTTATGATTCCCATCCATTACCCCACCTCTCTGTTACATCAAAGGACCTCACGGGGAACAAAGAGTGGGGGAAACTTTCACTGCAACACCGTTACCCAACATGATACACTCGCAGTGTCACCTGGCCTTTTATGAGTGTTTTTGAAAATGGACCCAAAAAGGAAAGAGGATACAAATAGCATGAAAAAAAAAAGAATAACTCATATTCTTTTATTGCAAATCTTTCAACTATTTGTTTGCCATTGACGTCAGCGGGGGTAGACCAGACCCTTGTGTTTTCAGTAGAAACCCCTTAATGATGCCCTTTTTTTATGAGTGTCGCTGCGTGTGTTTGCATGGCTCTCTCTTCAGAGGTGGAACATGCCGGTGAATGGATGAATACGTGGAAAACCATTTAACAATGCAAAACAACGTCATTGAGCGCCACTTTGTTTAGGGGAACATGGCGAGGAGAAAAGAAGAGATGGGAAAGGAAGTGGTGGGTCAAATAAGTCTGTATGAACTGTGTTGATACAGTTCCAATTTCAGCCAGCAGTACCTTTGATCTGAAGTGGTTCTTCTTTGTTCTCTTCTTCTTCCTCCTCTTTATTTTCCATCTGAGAGCAGGGACTGTATGATGATGCCACAAAACTGACATTTGTTTTCTGGCTTCTTCGTTCAGGAAGATGAAGCAGTTCTAATTGTACGAGGTTGCGTTGAGACTAGGGTTGCCTTTTGCAAAATGATCAAGATATATCGGTGCATGTTAAAGGTTTTTGCGTTATTCAGTCCTCAGAACTTTTCATGGATGGTGAAGTCAACTGTAACTGAAGGTAAAAAATTTAGAGAGCCACAAAAATAAATGGCTTGTAATCCATCTGTAGAAAAGCAAGACTAGTGACAAGATGTTATGTTCTAACTTAAAAAAACATCAGAGTTTGCTAGTTTATGATGGTATTTGTTGATGTTGTTTAAAAGGTTAAGTTACCTCTAATTAACAACCTTCCAAATCTATTAATTTGGGGAGACAAGCAAAGCAAGCAGCTAGCTAAACTAACCTTTTGTAGAGCTCACTGTCTCTATGGTAACATTGTAAAGACTGGAATTATGTCGGAGGAGGATAACTGACAATTCCTGTACAGAGACCTGGGCCATAGGAGGTGGGATGGAAGACAGCCTAGTAATATTTGTTTAAAGAAATTAACCCCTAAGCTGTTTTGGCTCCAAAATCATTTGACATTTTGAGAAATAAGCCTTTTTAAATGTGCAAATTTCCCCATTGCTACATAACTTTCACCACATCATGGTTAGCTTAGCTCAGTGTTAATAAAACATAGTTCAGTTTAAATACTGTGAACTTGAAGATGGACATGTAATTCTCTAAGCTGAGCCATTGCTCTCTAATTTGAAATTTAAAACATCTTTGAAAAACATTTTTTACAATCTATAGTGTAAAATTTAAAATGTAAAATCTGATGCAATGAACACGTGTCAGATCATCATTTCCCGTTTTTCATTTCGGAATTAGCAAACCTTATTACCAACTTCTGGATTTGAAGTTTCTACTTCTTTCCCTTAATTGTATTGTCTGTCTAAGCTGATGAAAACAAGAGTGGTAAAAAAAAGGTGAACAATGACTTTACACAAAACTTCAAGGCAATGCTGTCACCCTCCTTTTGCTTGGTGTATAGAATGAAAAATGACTAATTGCTAAAAGAATCAACATAAAAGGTGCTATATTCACACTTTCTTTTTCACTGACTTCTTGAATCCTTAAGTTTGTCACACATCTGGTTTTTCAGATAATTTCAGAGAAGGAAAAGAGGAATTAGGATTCAGTACATACAGTGTTCTTTCTCTTCCGTTTATCACAGAGTGCTGGTTAATGATCATTAACCATCTCTGCTGAGGCTAAAGGTCAATGCCTGAGTAGGAATCTCCTTCAGTATGGATGATGCTTAATTATTCATTCCAAGAAAAGACTTTATGGGCTTGAATCTCTATTAGAGCGAATACTATAGAAAAGAAATTTCAAACTTCTACCAAGATTCAGTCCCTTCATTCTGGACACTTCACATATTGGTATTTATCTAAATATGATCAACGCTTCACATTTAACATTCCAGAAATTGGGAATGCGTCTTCCGCAGTGCTTAAGACGAGGCAACATCCGTTCCCCAGCTCTATCCATGCATTAGTTTCCATACAGTTATTTACAGTTATTTAGACTGAGTAAGATGTATAACATCCATCAAAGCTTGCGTGACCCTTTTTTAAGGGAGCGGAAAATAGAAATGATTATATTCAACTCAGGGGACTGACTGCACTTTTCAACTGAGTAAATGTGGGGCCAATCGATCTGGCTGACAAACACAGCAGTTAATCTGCCGCCAGAGATGCACAAACCTGGCAGCAGCAGCTTCCCCTTGGAAGGGAAGGGCATATATTGTTTTGCAAATGCACCAGAGAACAGAGCAGACTAATTGAGCTCTATTCGGAAAAAAGAAAGTTGGAAGAAACCGCTTTTCTGAGAGCGATTTGGTTGGAGCGTTGAAACTTGGTTGCGGTCAGTTAAAAACAAATGTTATATACATTTTGATCAATAGTTTACTATGACTTATGAATGGCAAAAAAAATGGGGTTTCCATTTGTCTTACATTAGCAGTAACTGAAATGACTCAACAAACAACCTGTAAAAATACATGAGATAAAAAAGTTAGGAGCCCATCATTTCTTGTGGAACACGACTCTGCCTTTCTTTTTTAAATCAAGGAATCAATTAAAACCAATTCTTATGTTTTTAATACATATGCAAAATGAGCCAGGACTTTTTTCCCCCGGTATGTCTGAATCTGGGCCGTTAACATTGCGTTTGTCAGAGATTTGGGAATTTTGAAACCTAATGTGAATCCAGGTAAATTCATTTCCGTTCATGCTGTGACTCCAGACAACAGGAGCAATCAACCTATACTGATTACAGAACTCTGCCATCTTTTTTGGGGATAACCAATAAGTGTTTTGCAGCTCCTTTAGTTTTTTTTCTTACTGGCAATTCATTTTTCTGGGCTCACATAAACAAGCCAAGGCAGTCATCCATTACTCAGCTCTATCAGACTGCAGATAAGCAGTAGCCCTGCTTTCCATTATGCCTACTGTGATAACTCCTTTTGGTTTTGCAGCTTGCGTGTGTGTGATGACTGAGTTGTTGAATATATCCAATTGTTTTTTGTTCTACAATCTCAACAGCAGAGGCTGCAAACATAAAATAATTCTCTTTGGTGGTGGCATTCCTGAGACCCTGCATACTTAAATGTGAAGATTGCATTTTGGCCTCTCTGAACTATGACTGACATATTGGCCTCATAGTAGACACCTCAGACACACATGTTTAAAATCTAAAATTAAATGGTTTTATATATTTTCAATCAATCAAGTCCTTATGTTGATTAAAATGTTGCAATTAAGTAATTTGAAAACTTTTAGGCACATATATACATACATTTTAAATACAAAGATAAACCCATTGTCCCTTATAAAGGAAACTACCTGTAGCATGACATGAGTCTAGTTATTAAACTTATTAGGACCTACCTGAATTACACCTCAAGAACGAACAAAGTTTGGACTAAATACCAATCCTTTATATCTTGGAGAAAGCAAAAAAGCACACCAAATAAAATATAGGGTCTCGAGGCTGTTAATGGTTGTTAATATCTAAGGACCAAAACGGGACACATAACAGCAGGGTGGGTGAGTGAAAACAAAAGAACGAGAGCGACAGAACTGTTGTTAAAGAGTTTTAATCAAACAGAAATGCAAAAAGCTTCGAATCAGATCGGGATCAGGGCGGCGGTCTCGGCAGATACAAACAGTTACACTGTGAGGTCAAAGCTTTTACAAAAACAGCAGATCAGCGCCGATCTGCCGCCGGCTTACAGAAACACGTGAACCTGAGGTGAGCAACCTGATGAGAGAGGAGGTGTAGGACCCGCCGCGCCTCACATCCAAGACACTGGGAGTTAGAGTAGAGAGTCACAAACTCAGCTAACAGTATGACTCAGATACAGTGCTGCATTCTACCACTAGCTCTGTACACCAGTGAGCAAATTTAGATGCAAATTAAGAGTGAGGGGGGGGGGGATTCTTGTGTTTTTTCTTTCTGCTCAAATAGCTACCGCTTATGCAAACTTCATTTTCATTCCAATGAGCAAATCATTATCTCTATGAAGTGAGATGATCGTAAAAACCAATTAGCATTCAAATGCAGATTTCCCACTGTCGTTCTGTGCTCCAAGAGCGGAATTAGTCTTTGACGACGTCATCCGAACGTCTTACGGAACATCTGCCCAAATGTTTTCTCCACGCCCCAAACCGCGCGGCTCAGAAATTAAACTTATGCTAAATCCATTAGACGCGAAACATTTATAAAAGAAGAAATAGGTCCACACCTGCCAAGCATGCAAAGGATTCAACATTCTGAGCATCCAAGATTTCAACAGAGACACTGACACCATCTTTCTCAATAATACTGCAGCCTACGGTCAAAGCATGTGTTCCCAGTTTCAAATTCCCTGCAAAATCTGGCACAAAATCAAGATAAAATATATCTCTCTTGATGGAAAGAACGCGTTTGCAGCAGAAAGTTAGTGCAGTTTTTTTGTTCTTCTCTTTTTTTATTTGCTAGAGGCAACAGAGGTGGGGTGAATCTGCCATTTACTCATCATTTGAAGGCAAAACATTGGTGATTGATATCCATTTGTACACATATATATATAAAAAAAAGAGTTAATTCACCATGCAATATTTGGCAAAAAGAACAAACCGAAATAAAAAAGAGAAAATACTGCAGCAAATTTCTAAGTCACAATTTGCTCTGTTGACCTTTTCCCTGAATATTTCAAGCAAGAAAACAGTATCTGATCAGCACAACAGGCTAAAGCTGAGACTTTTTTTTTCACAGAAGTAAGAAGTGAGATTAATCCTGAATTTGGAACGTTTCATAGTTGGTGTAAGGCGCGGGAGAAATGCATATTTCTTTTTTGTTTTTTGTCATGCTCCTCAGTAGTTTCTCTACAAACACCACTAAAACATCCCCTGATTCGCTCGCTGCATCTGGAGACTCAACGATTTAGGCTTAGCTGGATGCTGTAGTGTTGCCAAGACAACCAAATCTTCATTTCTGCTGTGAACACAATATTTTCACCCAATTAGGTACTTTAGGCTGGATTCTCCGTTTCCCCGCCACCTCCAGAGGGCATTGCTGAGTGCAGGAGCCCTGCTGAGCAGACCAGGACTTAATCGCTGTGACAAACAGTGCCAGGCAGTCCATCATGTCTGTAAGTGGCTCTTTTTTAGTCTCCACTGGAGGACTGATTGATGCCAAGAGAACAAATGGAGCCACGGCAAAGGCAAACACAAAGCAGATATTACAAAAAAGGAAGGCTTTTCTATGCCTTTCTTGTGAGCTTCAACAGTGAGGTTGGCATTTCTGGGCATCTTGACAACACTACAGTACAAAGTGATCAGCAATCCCCACATGCATAAATGTCCCTTTCGCACGTTGCAAAATGCGGACTTTTTTAAATTCCCAAAACTAAGCTCAGGCTGCTTTAACAGGATTTATATTAAAAGTGAAATTCCATAAATGTTTCTTTGATCTTTTATAGCATAATGGGATCATTACGCTTGAAAGTGACTGAGCAGCGTTGTATACCTCCGTACCTCCCCTGAAGGTGACGTCTCAGGGATGTTTTAAACGCAGAAAGAGACAGAAGCTGCTTTAAGCCGACAATATTCCGCCTGTGCCACGTCTTAAACCCACGAAGCGGCATTTCTGAGCTTTAAACGTCATCATCACTGAGTGAGGTACACAGCTGTTCTCCAGTTACAGAAAAGTTTCCAATAAACACACAGCAGAAACGGCAGCAACATGTCAAACATTAGAACATCACATTTACTGATATATTACAGTTAACTGAGGAAATGCTACCGATGTCAGTACCATTCAAATCAAAGAGAGAAAAAAATTATTCTTAAATGATTCAAAATCACAGCCTCTCTAGAAGAGAAAAATAAAGTCATAATTAAAACAAATCCCACCCAAAGTCACAATCCATCAACTCCTCACACAAAAGAGAGTGTGTGTGAATGGAAGGACAGCGTGGGACTTTGGCTGACCATAAAACAGAAAGGTAAAGCCTTACGGAACTCTACCTGACTGATGTGTGCACCGAATCTTATGTGTTATGGAATCTGAAGGAGAGAGTGGTTCTGGGAGTGAAGGGGTCGAGGTCCTTCCACCCCGAACCCTCCCTGCTTCCTCACCTTGCCCTTCCTTTTCTTGTCCCCACCAAAGAACTTTCCAATCTGATCCAAGAGCCCGGGGGTCTTCTTCCTCCGACCCAGCCCGAAGGCGGCCTGCGCAGAGCTGCTTGCGGATGCCATGCTGGTAGTAGCGGTTGGTAGTAGGTTTTGAGTTTGGCGAGAGTGGGGGCTATTTGTCTCTCCTTTAAATAAGAGAGCAAATCGGGAAAAAAAAAGAAAAGATAGGAGAGGGAAGGAGAAAAAAAAAAAAAGAAGCTAGCCTAGTCTAGGTCCTGTTCGGGGCTGTCCGACCCGCACTCTGAAGCCGCTCCGCTGTGCTCCTGGATGGTCTGCAGCTCGTCCGATTCGGAGGGTCGCTCTTTGAAGGTGTTGTCCTCCCGGCCCGGGGCATCTCGGGAGAAGAGGCGGACCAGGTGGGGGCGTGGTGTGGCGGCGTCAGGGTCAGCTGTGCTGGCGGGGGTCCAGGCCCTGCGGGGGCCCTCAGCGCCCGTGGAGTCAGTCACCGCCGGCGTCTCCGAAACGCAGCCATTGTTCTGGGTCGCATCTGCCTCACCCAGGCCTGCGCAGAAAACAACAAGGGTCATCTATGGGCCCGCATGGCACAAAACGAACCACGGCGACACAATGGGCCCCTTTGACTGCCGCAGCTGAGGCCAGCAGAACTAGCATTTCACCTTTTCGGCTCACCTGCTGAGCCTAAAGACACAAGCACACACTTCCTTGTGTCCTTCTTAACGCTATAGCAGGTGGACACTCTATGACCAGCTTCATTTCACAGGAACATGACTCACACATTGCAATTTTTTTTGCTAGGAGAAACGAGCAGGAAACGGAACACTGCGATACCTGACGACCTACTGGACGCGCTTCTGTTTGATTGATGAAGCCAATCCAGGATGAATCATTAGATCCTCCAAAACTAAGTGGAAATAAGTGCTACGTTCATTCCGCCGCGATGAAAACACACCCGTTCGTCAAACGTCCAGTTTGACAGCAATCCATTAAAGCAGCCAGCTCCCACAGCAGAGGACATCCAGTGCATTCCTCCCACTAAAACAATATCCCCAATGTCCTGACAGAAATGGTGTAGAACTACACCAGGGAATCTGCATGCTAATAGCGGCCCGGACAGAGGGCCGTTGTCGGGGCCGCATAGTTAGCACAGGGACACAAAGGGCCCAGTGTCACTAAAATAACTCCTATAAGTATGGATTTTAGACTCGATGCAGGGCGACACTCATCTGATTTGAGGCCCGATGGGCTCCGGCGCGGCCGTCTGTGGGAGCAGAGCCTGTTCTACTTCTTTGCTGCAAAGAAATGACACCTCTATATGTCCATTTTTGCTCGGGATTACGACTAAAACAGCTTCCCCAACGAGTCCCTGTGTTTCCTGTGCAGAGGCCACTGAGGTTGATTTAAACATGACTCAGATGACTGAATAGGAGAGGGAAGCGGCGGCGCGTTTCCATACAGTATTACACCTCCAAAGATTACAGCTATCGGCTCTCCCTTTGTCGTAACAGTTTTTATGGAAAAGATTTTTATCTTGCCCGTTTATCAGGAGGGATGATGACACAATGCAGCCTGTTGCCGCTTTGTTTTGATTTAAAGAAGATTAACTGAACCATTAGTCATAGGTAACATTAAGAGTAAAAACAAGGGTGTGCCAAAGACAGCAATATGGTGCAATCTGCTTTGGATTCGAAACCAGTCTCTTGGTTCTTTTTATGAGACATGATAGATATAAAAAAAGACATGATAACGCTGCTCTTTGCTTTTGTTGTGGCTTTTTCAGCCTCAGTCTCTCACCGTGTCCCATTTTCTCCACTACAAATAAAAAAAGGAAAGTTCTCTTGGTATTAAATATGTTTCAGGGTAAACATTTATCTTAAGGCACACATCACAAACTCTCCATATAAATTCTGTAATTTGTCCTATAAAGGATTTTCAAAAAACAAACAGAAGTCAGTGGAAGCGATGCTTGTGCTTTGCTGTCAGTTTGACTCACTGCCTCCGAACAGAATCGGTCACATAGCAGGAAAGCTAGCCGGCCGGCTTTTCTCAAAGACCTCAGTATTTTCCCTGTTCAGATGGATAAATGTTTGTCCTCCTTTGAGGAGAAATGCCAAACGCGGATATGCTGTGAGAGCTCTGGCAGCAGAATATTCCTCAGGTCTAATCTCCCTTATGGTGTCAGAAATATTGCCCTTTTTGAGTTGCTGTGCATCTCATGCACAAGCAGGCCATTTCAGAGGGAGGTGGTGCTCATATGAAAATTACATACAGCAAACTTGTAGTTAAGAATCTAATTCATAATAATAATAAATAAAAAAATGTAAACGGTTTTAAACGGCTCAACATTGCCTGATCAGTGCCATTCGGTGGAGGCTGTGTTTCACTCCCCTGACCTGTGTCTCTCCTAAAAAGGCACGACTTGTTTAACTGAAATCCCCCCCCCCCATGGGGATTACTGCAGAGTAACACTATAAATTCAGCTAGTTTGTAAAGGGGACGACTTTTTCCGCTACAAAAGTTATTAGAATTCGGATGTTTGCTTTCTTTTATTGTTGGGGATGTGTGTGTGAGTGTGTGTGTGAGTGTGTGTGTGTGGAAAGTCTTCAGGGACATGAGGAGCTGCGGAACAGCAGCCGGGGTTGGCTCAGTTCATGTTGCTGCGTTGTTTATGAGGCATTATTGCCGTCCAGAGGCACAGCCTCATAAAATCATCAAGATCCTATCTAATTTATCTGCTAACGGTAAAGAATCTGAAACCTAATGTAGCTCATCACTTCTTGTTACCAGCCGTAAATATGTTTTATTACCACGCTGTCCTCTCAGTGGCTGCTACTTCACTCTACGGAGAGGAATAAATAAGAGAGCTGTTGTTTTGCTACCCTTTAGTGGCCTGCCCACTAGGCCTCTTAAATTTCCATCATCCATCATCTGTTGCTCTCCATCCTCAGCCCAGCCGCGCTGCCATCCGCGGCAGGAATACCAATAAAGAACAAACTGGAGAGAGAAAAACATTCTGACATGGATTAACTCTAAGCAGACCTCCACAGTCAATAGTGCTCCTGCATTATATCGACCACACGTTGGTCAGCTCTGGCCACAGGAAAGGTTATGTGCTGATGAGTAAACGCAAATGAGCTGGCTACCTGTGCGGGTTAACCTTCCTCTAGTGCTATCCCCTTCTGTTCCTCTAGTGGTAAACCTAAATGGAAAAAAAAAAGACCCAAGCACAAGTGGAAATGTTAAATCGAGGATGTTGGCATTTGTAACGTCAACTCATTCATTTGTGAACTGATGTGATGAAGTTTTAGAGCATTCAGCGCACTGATTCCCAGCTCTTCTGGGGACAAAAAAAAATATTGCTCACCCAGACTACAGAAGGCTGGCAGTTTACTAAATGAATCGTACATGGTTATCTAGACTCAAACAAAGGTGTTTTACTTGGTTTTTAATCAACGTGTTAGTCACCTTTAACTGACAAAATCTCCTTTTGAAAGCTGATGTCTTTTTTAACACCCACTGCAGCATGTATCAGATGAGTTTTGGTGTTGCAGTTGATTTTAGGTGACTAATCTATTAAATATCAGATGAAGGAATGGGAAAAGAAAAGTGCCTTGGGGCCAGATGGTTGCTGGTACATGTCCAGGATCATCTTATGTGGGCAGTGATCAACACTCCATTCCTAATCCCCTTAAAATGCTCCAAAAATAATGCCAACCAAAGTCTCCTTTTTTTCATGCCACCAAAAAATGATGAAAAAAATGCTGTATCCTCACATATACATTCAACGACCCAGATGTAGTTATTGCCTTTTGATGTTTTGTGCGATAGTTCTCCAGACCTTCTGAAGGTCTCTCAAAGTTGAAGTAATTGGTTGTTTGTGCATTACCCAGGAAGTCATCCTTTCAGCTGGACCAAGACTTAACATCTAAATGGCAGATTCACCTACACCTCTGATCTACACCTCTTTACATTTCAGAATACAGAAATCAGAAGATAACTAAAAAGAAGAATCTTTTAGGTCAATCACACACTTAACCACATGAGAAATAAATCTCTTCTTCAAAGTTGCGTAGCTATGGACTACAGTAATTATGCAAAAAAGAACATCTAAGAAGCAATAAAGATCATCCCTGCTTGGTGAGTTTGCTCAGTCAACTTTGCTGGCTTCCTTCATGAATACTGGATTTATTCATGGTTTGAAAGCCCAAGATAATGATGGTTTCTGATGTCTCTTCCTTCACAGGCTGACCAGAGGTGTCTGGTCTTTAAACCGCCAGAGAAGTCAGGAAGGTCGAAACATGCGCCGCCAAGAGATACGGTTCTAATTCAAAACCTTCATTCCACTTATAATACAGCCAAGAAATTAATTAAGTTTGGAAATGACCCGATAACAAGCTGCTACCCCATCAAGAAAACTGGCCCTGACCACTTGAGATTGTGACAACTTAAGTGCCAAGGTGACCTAAACATGCTGCTGAAATTATGGGGGAGGATTGATACAATCTGCCATGTTGGGATCTCAGTTACTGTGCTCAAATCCATTATCGTCACCACCTCTACTTTCTGCTCTATCTTGGTTCAATGGTTAGGGCAAGGCAGGGCGTGAGGCGCGTTTTCTCTGCTCAGCATAGAAATGGAGAGCAGAAATATGAGCATATAAGAGGGAGGAGGTATGCAGGGAGTGGGCCTTAATCTCCTAAATTTCCCTCCTCTTCCTTGGGGTGAAAAGGATGAGTGGCCAAGCATCTGGGACAACAACAAGGGCCGCAGTGGGACAGCTGCGCGGGACGCATTCCTCTATGGAAAAAAACGACACAGAAAAACATCCATTGCTATGTGGCTTGGGACCAAGCCTCCCACCCAGGGGCAAAAATCCCTCTGCCGCCGCATTCACGCTGGCTCTGAAGCACCCACAAGTTCAGCGGGAAAAAAAGACATCCTCTGTCTCCGACACCCCGACAAGCATTCAGGACGTTAGTCCTCCGGAGATTTCAAAAGAGGAGATAAGGGTGACAGCGGAGCCACTCCCTTCTGACCCCAGTCACGTCCGTGACCTGTGACATTCACTGTAAGCTCAGACTGTAAATGAGGGGAAGGATTAGATTTAAGAGACGGCGTTCAGCCAGGCTCAAGTTTGTGGCAGTTAAGTCACAGTCCGATTTATATTTCATATTTCTCTGGTATGTCATTTCAAAACAAGCAAATTCCTAGATTCCAAAACAAAAAAGGCCTTTTTACAGGAACTTTAATCTTTGTTTGTTCCAAGTCCTACCCGGCAGTTTCAGTGCCATTGCGTTTATTTAGGCTGCTGGGAGGCAAACTTTCACTCCCCACTGTGACTTTTATTGATTTGTTTCCTTAAAAAAAGCTAACTCTAAACAATATAGATATCATTCCTACCGCTCAGTATTTCAGTCTGTCATTGCTTGATGGGAGTAAATCAATAGATTATATGTTTTCTGTCATATCAATTCAACTACAAATAGAGAAAACATAAAAACAACAAAACATCTTGACAGATCTATTTGCCAAATATTCAATCCAT